AACACGTGTCCCCTCACAGGGACCCTCTGTAGCTCTCTGTCCGGGTGCAGGTGTGGGATAGCCACGACACAAGCCCCTGTTGTTCCCAAAACCCGCTTGGTGTATAGTAGGAACGTAAACAGTAATTTGTGTCGAGTGAATTGCCACTCCCTTGAGAAACCCCGTAACACAGTAAAAAGGACATTCTTGGGAACCTGTGGCCCCGTCAGGTGAGAGAGGCTGAGTGTGTGGGACGCAGGTACCGCGGGACGAAGCGCAGAGGCCTGAAGCCTGGCTGTGAGGCGCAGGCAGGACCCCATGCCCCCGGGCCCTCTGGTACTGAAGCCAGGGTGGGGGCCGAGCGGGGACATGGGAGGTCTGCTCCCTGGGAGAAGTGGGTACGGCGGAGGGCCCCGGCCGCCCCTGCTGCTGGTGCTCAGGTAGCGTCCCGTGCTGCCCAGAGGCAGCAGCTAGTTCTTTGCAGGAATAGCCCCCAGTCCAAGACGAGGGACCTCCGTACACCCCGAGGTGCCTGACAGCTCCATCGTGAGCCCCACTTGAGCAGAGTCACCTGGACTTCCTGCAGCTTCTTGGGGTCTCCGAGGGCTGGTGGACAGCCAGCCACCACACAGTGTGAGGAAAGACATCTGAGAACCTTAACAATCCGGTAATTAGTGTTGCCTGAGATACAAAGAGATACTGCGTCCAAGAACTAGGAACAGAATGTTATTTGAAAAGAGCGTTCAGAGGGCCAGAAAGAGCATTGAGAAATGAGGTTAGAAAGAGCAGCAGAATTTTTTGAAGGGTCAGAGGAGAATGGTAAAGTTGAGGACAGCTCCCGGAGCGCGGACCAGAAGCACAGAGATGAGAGCACTGGCTGTTAGCTAGGAGTGGGACACAGCAGCTGGGATGTGGGATTGCTGGAGTCACCGAATGGGCCCTGGGCTGCACTGACACGGGACAGACCCCCCAGAACACTGGGCAGATAACTGCTTCAAGAGCTCTCGCGTGGGAAGGGTTGGGAACCGGAGCAGCTCCTGTCTCCCCGGGCACTGGTCAGCTGCCGCTGGCCCCCACTGGCCTCCCAGTGCCCTGTGTCTGTCCAGAGAGTGTTCCCAGTTCTGGGGCCCGAGACTTGGCCACCCAGTATGACCCCCACCCTGCGTGTGAGCTGCTCCCGTCACCTCAGGAGGCCTGGTCACCCCCACATGCACCCAGGCAGTTATCCAAGCCCCCACCAGCTGATTCTGATGGTCGTGCCCGGGCTGTCCAAGATTCCGTGTTTTGAGCAGTTTTTCAAAGAGGGGCTCAGTGTTCATGGACTGCTGGGGTGAGGCAGGGGGAGTGTGACTGCAGTCCTCCAGCATCGGATCTGGAGACACAGGACTTGTCGGAGCTGCCTGAGCAGTGACGTTTAGTTGACACCATCCCTGGTGATGGCACGGAGAGTCTGCTTTCCCACAGGCAGGCCTTGCTCTGTGGACTTGTGGGTCTGTATCTTCTGAGACTTTATGAAGTACACTGTACGTTTTTGTCCAGATTTGGGAGGCGGGGATGAGGGGCAGGGTAGGCATGAAGGATATATTTGAAATTTTGGTGCCCATGTGAATCTGTCAGCCTGGGGCTCTCCGCCCTGTCAGGAGCTCTCGGCCGGCGGCCAGGCCGTCCGCAGCTGGGCCCCGCTGTCCACTTCCCTCAGTCCCCTCACACAGGCTGCTCAGCCTTCTGTGGGGGCCATGAGGGCTCCTGGCAAGGCGGGGTGGGGGGCGGGCGTGGCTTCCTGCCGCCTCCGAGCTCTCCTCTGCAGCCTTCCCTGAAAGCCCTGTGGTCCGGGGAGCCCTCAGACCCAGCTGGGCGGGCTGTGCAGCAGGACAGGTTGGAAATGGAGCAGACCCTTCCTTGGGATAGCTCCCAGCTCTGCATGCTCATCGGCCTGCTGTGTGCTTGGCAGGGTGTTTAATGCCGCTGCTGCAGAGTGGAGCCTGCACCCCAAAGTCACGGCGCCATCGGGATGGTGATGAGTGCGGTGGAACGTGGGCAGACAGAGCCGCAAGGCGCCCAGCTGCATTCCGCATTTGCCACACTGCACCTCGTCTCCTGGGCCTTTGCTGGGCACACCCTCCTCCCTGCCACTCCCAGCTGGGCCTTGGGAGTCACCGCAGGGTGACTGGGCAGCACCCTTTTGCCTCAGAGAGATGCCGGGGAGTGTCCCGTCCCCTAGCCCCCAGCCTGCTGGGCTGACCCACCACCTGGAGGTGATGTTGCCCAGAGCACGGGCGTCCACATCCACAGCCTTTCTGGTCACCGCCGTTTCTGTCTCGCAGGAGGTGTAGATCCAGGACCAAAAAGAGGCAAGTCCTGGGCCAGATCTGTGCTTCCTGTTTGACAGAATTACAGGAGCTCCCACCCAGGACCGAGGATGCTTGAGCGGACGCCAGTCGGGGAACATGGAACCGAAGCATAGAGATGAGAGAACTGGCTGGGGGGAGGACGGGTGGGGAGAGGCCTGAGTTTGCTTCTTCTTGCGGAGTGTTTCTTTCGCTTGAGAATACGTGCAAGAGAGTCTTCTCTCCCTTTTCTTTTAATTGTGGTAAAATACACGTTAACAGGAAGTTTGCCCCCTTCGCCGTCTTTAGGCGCACAGCTCATTCCCGCTGTTGTGGGACCACGACCACCGTCCGTCCACAGAGCTTTTCCATCTTCCCAAACTGAAGCTCTGTCCCCATGAATCGCTGACTCCCCACCCGCCCCCGCCCCTGGTGACCTCCATCTACCTTCTGTCTCTAGGGATCTGACGGCTCGAGGGGGCTTGAGAAGCGGAATCCTGCCGTATTTGTCTTCCTGCCACAGGCTTATCTCCCCGAGCACGATGCCCTCCGGGCCCACCCCTGTGGGAGCACGCGTTGGCCTGTCCTCCCCGTTAGGGCTGAACACTGGTCCCACTGCATGGACAGACCACACTTTTCCCTTTGTCTGCCGATGGACACATGAGCTGCTTCCACCTTTTGGCGGCTGTGGACAGTGCGGCTGTGAGCGTGGATGTGGAAATACATCCGTAGTTGATTCCTTGCTTTCATTTCTTTTAGTTGTAAGCCGGAAGTGGAATTTCTGCATCAGATAGTAATTCTGTGTTTGAGTTTTTGAGGAGCCTCCAGGCTGTTTTCCACGTGGCGGCTGCACCCTTCCCCATGCGCACCGCAGTGCCCGAGGGCTCCAGCTTCTTCACACCCTCACCAGCACCTGTGATTTTCTTTGTTTTTTTCTCTAATAACCATCTAAATGGTGTGAGTTGACATCTCATTGTGGTTTGATTTGCATTTCCCTGATGCTGAGTGGGGTTGAGCACCTTTCTATGTGCGTATTGCTCATTTGTGTATCCTCTGGAGAAATGTCTATTCAAGTCTTTTGCCCATTTTTAATTGGGTTGTTTTTGGTATCGTGTTGTAGCATTTCTTTCTATATTGTGGATACCAGTCTCATCAGATATGTGATTTGCAAATATTTTCTCCTGTTTTGTCGGAGAGGAAAACAGGACGTTTTCATTCTGTTAATGTCCTTTGAGGCATGGGAGCCAGGTTTTCATGCACAGCTGGGAGTTGGCCGGGCAGAAGGACAGTGAGGGTAGAGACCCCAGTGCCAGGGTTGGGGGTGTGCCATGTGCACATGATGTGTGTGTGAACAACACCTGCATTAAAAATGCCCATTTTTGGGACACCTGGGTAGCTCAGTCAGTGAAGTGTCTGCCTTCGGCTCAGGTCATATTCCCAGAGTCCTGGGATCGAGCCCCACATCGGGCTCCCTGCTCCGCGGGAAGCCTGCTTCTCCCCCTGCTTGTCCTAGTTTTCTCTCTCTCTCTCTCAAATAAATAAATAAAATCTTTTTAAAAAAAGACCATTGGGACGCCTGGGTGGCTCATTCAGTTACACGTCTCCCTTCAGCTCAGGTCACCACCCCAGGGTCCTGGGATCAAGTCCCGCATTGGGCTCCTAGCTCAGCGGGGAGTCTGCTTCTCCCTCTGCCTCTCCCCCTGCTTGTGCTTTTGCTCTTGCGCCCTCTCTCTCTAATAAAGTAATTAATTAAATTAAAATAAATAAATTAAAAAAGAGGGCGCCTGCGTGGTTTAGTTGGTGGAGCATGTGACTCTTGATCTCGGGACTGTGCGTTCAAGCCCCACATTGGGTCTAGAGTATACTTTAAAAAAATGGGGCGCCTGGCTGGTTCAGTCGGTTAAGCATCCGACTCTTGGTTTCGGCTCAGGTGGTGATCTCAGGGTTGTGAGATTGAGCCCTGTGTCAGGCTCTGCGCTCAGTGCAGAGTCTGAGATTCTGTCTCCCTCTCTCTGTCCCTTCCCCTGCTGACACTCTCTCGCTCTTTCAATTAAATAAATAAAATCTTAAAATAAAAATAAAAAATAAACCTTAAAAAAAAGTCCATTTTCAAGCCCTCTTGGAGCAAGTGTTATAAAGTCAAGAAACTGATGAGATTTTTAAGGTTTAGGAATGGAAGAGGGAAGACATAGCTTGTGGGAAGTTTCTGGATGGCCCACAGACCACTTGAAGATGTTCCATGTAAGCTAAGTGTCCCTGCTCCTACTCTTTAACTCATAAAAGAGTAAAAACAAAAACTGAAGCTAGGGCAGGCGTGGGTTTTGCAGAGAGCTCTCCAGAGAGATGGCATTTTAGAGATTACTTGCCCCTTCATCATGCTCCCAGCACGCTCCAGTTGTCAGTACCCAGGGGCTACAGTGAGCCAAGAACGCAGACACCCTTAGCCTCTGGGAGGTCGATGTCAGGACCCAGACGAAGAGGTCAGCACGGAGACGAGCCTCCTCCCTCCGCCCTGCGGCTGTCAGCACCCAGCACGCACTCTCGGGGCGACACTGGGGTGGCCTGCTTGGGTTGCTGGGCTGGAGCCACGGGAAGGCACCAGGTGGGGGTGGCACGGCCCTTGGCCCTGGCACGGTGGGTCCTGGTGGGCCTTTCCCCACGTGTCTCCTGCAGCTACCCTTTGCTTCCTTCCAGGAATCGACTATAAGACGACCACCATCCTGCTGGATGGACGGCGGGTCAAGCTGGAACTCTGGTGAGTCAGGCCCTGCGGGGCGAGGTGTCCGGGGCAGGGACTGTAGCACCTCAGTGTCACTGTGCGATGCCTCAAGTGAGTCAGGAGTCCTCAGAGATGGGATGGCATCCTGTTGACCCTCCCTGGAATAGCCGTTTGCACAGACCCTGTGTCCCTGTGGAACGGACTCTGATGCAGAAACCAGAAGTCTGGGCTGTTTGGTCTGATAGAGCCCAGCTCCCTTTGGCCCAGAAACACTCATTTCCACTGTGACCATGGCTCCTCGGCCCTTGCTCTTCCCTGGGCTACACATGAAGGAGCGTCTTCCAGAACCTCAGCAGGAGGCGTGAATTCCCACAGTGGTGGGGTTCTCTAGCCCAGCAGGGCAAGGTTCCAAGGCACACAGGCCCATGGAGGTCCACCAGGGTGAGCTGTGGAGTGGGAGGGGGCAGGGGCCAGCACCTCACAGGGATGACACTGTGCATGCTGGGGTCCCATGGGCTGCGTCCCCCAACCCCCCTGTGTTTCAGGGACACCTCGGGCCAAGGCAGGTTTTGCACCATCTTCAGGTCCTACTCCAGGGGCGCACAGGTAAGCCCAGCGACCGTGCCAGTGCCGTTCTCCAGGATGACCCCCTCCCGCTGCTGTGCTGTCAGACCCCACGTGCGTGATTCTTTCGAAGCCAAGTTTGACATCTGAACACCAGGCTTCCACTGGGGGTCTAACCTTGGGTACCCTCTGTGCCCATCGGCTCCCATGGCTCCTGCTGGTGGAGGTGCCACAGGAGGTGTGCTGAGACCCTTGGAGATGCTGCTCAGTCATCCAGTTCCCCGGGAAGAAGAGGTGACCTCTCTGGACTTGGATGTGCTGATGGAGGGGGCTGCCTGGGGAGGCAAGCCCATCTCAGGGCTGGGGGCTCCGGAGGGGGCTGGCCTGGATCACTGATGAGGAGAGTGGAGCCTGAGCCTTGGAGCCGCCATGGAAGGGGCTGCTGTGGGTCCTCAGCGGGGCAGGGCGGTGTGCAGGGATGTGGGCACCTGCTCATTTCTGTCTGCATCCTCTGGGTTCCCCCCAACATACTTGTGTGCCAACTGGATCTGTATGTGGTTCGAGGCTAGAAGGAGAAGGGAAAGTAGCTGTGTGCCCAGATCTGCTCTAGACTCTCACTGCGGAGTCAGAGTGAGTGGTCTGGACGCAGGACCAGTCTTGTCTGTGCTGCAGGGCAGGCTGTGACCCCCAGGCTTCTGGAATTGCTGAGGAGACCCCTGAAGTCAGATCTGCTGTGCACCACAGGCAGGGGCCCCTGGCTGTGTGGGGTGTGGGCTCCAGGGGGGCTGCCTGTCACCCCACACACACTCTGGCTGGGGCTTGGGGGGAGCCCCATGGGCATCTGTTTTGCTTTCTGAGCAGTGATTAATGCCCAGCACCCCCCACCCCCACCCCGTGCTACTCTTTCTGCTCTATGGGACCTGGGAAGCCCGAGGGAAATTTCGTCTGTGATGGAGTCAGACTGAGTCCAAGGAGGTGTTGACAGGAACACCCAACCCAGCCCTTCCTCCAGGGCCTTCCTGAGTGGGAGCCTCTCCAGCATTCGGGGAGGGAGGAAGACCCTGAATGGGGCCTTCGTCTGCGCTCTGCTGAGGTTGGCCAGGAGCTCCTGTCCTGGGAGCTGGCACAGAGGAGTGAGCCCCGCTCCTGCAGCCGCTGGCTTGGGGACGTCACCAGTGTTCACGCCGGTGTCGACGGCGCCCTGCAGAGCTGCCATAACTGGGGTGCCATTGGGAGCAGCTGATCCTCCGTGACAAAACACAGAAGGACCTCGGGGAGTGGGGTGCCGCTTTGGGGCATTTGTCAGCAGCCCCGTCCCCACCAGGGGTGGGTTAAGTAGCAGGAACTGCCTGCAGCACCCAGAGCCCTTCAGGTGAGCGTGGGAGAGCTCAGGCACACGGAAGCACAGTCCACGGCCCCTCTTATTTAAGGAAGAGACTGCGTGTGTGATTTTACATACACAAGATGAGACGTTGTAAACGGCCGTGTTCACTGTCGCGCACCCCGCGGTTACTGGTGAGCTCTCTTGTGCTCCTTTTGGTTTGAGTATTTTCAGTTGTGCTACGATAAACACATTACTTTTGTAATCAAGAGGAAAACGAAGAGCTGGGGCTCGCTCCCTTGGGTATGATGATTATGGGCCCCTGGCCTCAGCTGCCTGCCTGCTCTGAGTGTCAGCACGGGACAGACCACAGACACGTGCTTGTGAACAGACACTTAGGACCACGAGAGAAAGCCGGGAAGCAGCCTGCACATTTGCCAGATGACACGTTTTGGGAAAGCAAGTCGCGTTCCCACGTCTGTTCTCAAGCGTCCAGCCTAGCCAGCTGTGTGTTGGCTGTTGCGTTTGCTTTGCTGGTTCTGGGGGTTCTTGTTGTTCTGGGGTCGGAGGAGCCCGTGGTAGGTCTCAGGCCTGGGTGGGTGGCAGCGGGCGCCTGTCGTGTTCCCATCCCATCAGGCGGTGGCAGTGAACAGGTACAGGGGGTCTGCAGGGTGGCACCCACCTGGGTTTGCAGCAGACGGCACCCAGAGTCGTGGGGCTTCTACTTGAGTTTTGTATTTCCTGTCACTCTCCTACCCTCACTTAAGACCAGAGAGAGGCCTTGCAGGTCCCTTAGGGCCCAGGTCACAGAAGCCCCTGGCCAAGCCCTGGCTACTCTCACCTGCCCCACAACAGTGCTGTCTTTTGGCTCTTGCCATGAGTACTTTCTTTCCATGGCCCATGTTTGCTGTTGCTGGGGTCTGAGGTGGCTGCTCCTGTCCCTGGGAGGCTGGTGCTGTCGGCTGGGGTCCTCTGGAGTCCCCTGGGGTCCCCTGGGCTCAGTGCAAGGAGGGAGCTGGGGGCGGGGTGGGGGGAGGTTCTGTTTCACGGAGGCTTTGGGGTCAGCTGGATTAGCACTGGGTGGAGCATGGCTAGGCACTGGTCTGGTGAGAGAGGGTTCAGTTCCTATGAAAAGGGGTTTCCTGTGGGAAATGGCCCAGGGCTTGCAGTTACCATGAAGTGAGTGCTGACGGGGGCACCAGCATGCACCTGTCACTGCCCAGGTGGGTGGGCATATGGGCCGGAAGCCGTTAGACAGCTGCTCCCCATTTTCTGTGCTGCTGTGGGGGTGTAGGCAGCGGCTTTCACTCACAGTATTCTGTTCCTTGGGAGCTTTACCATACAAAATGCATTACACATGCCAAAAGTTAAATTCATGAGAAATGCACCTCTGTACCTCGGTTGGGGTGGTGGTGGCACAGGTATGTTCACATTTGTCCAAACTCATCCAACTGTTCATACTTAAAATTTGTACCTCTTCTGAGGGACAAGCTGTAGCTCAGAAGTAATAACCTTGGGGCGCCTGGGTGGCTCAGCCAGTTAAGCGTCGGACTCGGACTCTTGGTTTTGGCTCAGGTCATGATCTCAGGGTCGTGAGATTGAGCCCTGCGTCGGGCTCCTCGCTCAGTGCAGAGTCTGCTGGAGATTCTCTCCCTCTGCCCCTCCCCGCCCCCTGCACATGGTGTGTGCTCTCCTAAATCAACAAATAACCTTGATAGAATAAGGGCACCAACCCCTGGGCCCTGTAGTTCCACTTGTTTGGATTTTATCTTCCAGTGCTGGGGGCGGGGGGGTGCTCTTCGCAGGTGTCGCTGATAAGATTAGGTGAAATAACCTGAGTGCCAACAGCGGTACTACCTGATGAGCCTGGCGGAAGGTGCTGGCTGCTGTGGGACAGGGGGTCCTGGGTGGGGGCTGGGCAGTGTGCACCGTGACCCGGTCTGGGTCAGGAATAAGACAGGAACCGGTTATTCCTGGAGGGATGGGGAGGAGTTCTGTTTGTACCCTGGAGTACCCACTCATTTAAAAAGCCTGAGCACGTAGGACTTCCGTTGATGACAGAAGTATAATATAGTGAAATTTATTCGTCCCTCCTCCTTTGGAACTCACAGCTGGAACCCCTTGGGGTATTCTGGTAATGAAGAACCTGTCCTTGGTTTCTCAGCTGTCCCACCTGTGCTTGATGCCACCTGTCCTTCCCGGCCACATGCATGATCATTTTCGGTCCCTGCTGCCTACAGTGTGACCCGCTGTGTGTCCTTCCTCCCTGTGACGGGTGTGTGTGGGGTGTCTCCTCTGTCAAGCCCCAGCCTGTCAGACTGGGGCAGCCCCAGACGGGTGGTGGTCGTTGGAGGTTGGGAGGGACAGCCAGGGGTTCCCCAGCGGCCGAGGGGTACAGCTGACACCTGATCCCAAGGGAGGAGCTTCTGCCCCCTTGCATGAGCGCTTCAGCCTCACACAGGCTAGCAGAGCTGGAACGTGAGTCCCCGCCCAGACTTCCGGCGCGTGGCTGTGCACGGAAACTGCCCTCTGTGAGTTGTTGAGGGTGGGTATCTCCCACGGTCTGCTGTGTGCCCTGCTGTGTGCCCATGTGCACTGCTCGGTGGGTCGTCGGTGTGGTGTGCCCGTAGCTTGACTTACTCCGCAGTCCTGGGACTGCCTGTTTAGGCACAGTTCTCATGGGAACATCCTCACTTATTTCTTGAAGGGGCGTTTCCAGGTTGGGGCGTCAGTGCCATGGTGGCCCTCCCTGCACACCAACTGGAGGCTTTGTTCCCTGTGCCCCAAGCAGCGGGGTTCGCACCCAGCTACTCACGGGTCCCGTCCAGTCCTACTCTCCAGCGTCCCGGAAACGGGTGCCTTAGCCCTTGACTTCACGTGGGTCTGGACCCATCTGTCCCGAAGGCTGTCCCTCCAGGCCTGGCTCTTCCTCCCCAGCGAGTGTCCCTTCCCGGTCGGCACATGGTTCCGCACTGCTCAGCTTGAGGCTTTCCGGCCAGAGAGTGGGATTTTGACCTTTGTGCTTACAAGACCTAGGGGCCACGCTTTTGTCTCCCAGAATTGGAAGGACAGTTTTGAGGGGCAGGGCTCATGGTGAGATGGAGGGTGCCCTGTTTTTTTTGATCTCAGCTGCTCTGTGCGGTGTGTGACGGAGACCCAGGCTGAACGCAGCCTTGCTGGGGCAGGACAGGGTGGGTCCCGAGCCTGCTTCAGTGTGGCACATAGGGGCAGAGAGAGGCAGGGGCCCGCAGCTGCACTCGCTTGGTGGAGTCCCCTCTCTGAGGCTTGTGATAGGTCCCTGAGATATCTAGGGCAGGGACGACAGGCGAGTCACACAGGTGCACATAGCCCAGAGCTGAGCTCCAACTAATTGGTCTCTGAGGGATATGGCGGGAAAGTCCCCATAGCAAATGCTCTGCCCGGCTGGTGGGGGCCTGCCGGAGTGACTGGCGTCCTGCTCTGCAAGTTTGGGTTGGAACGCAGAGCCCCCTCCGCTCAGCCCCCGGGTGCCCCGGGCAGAGCAGGCACACTGTTGGACGGAGTGTGGGGACCTGGCTGCTGTCTGCCTGCCAGGCTTGTCCGCAGGGCCTGCTGCACCCTGTAGACCTGTGTAGACTGCCTGTGTTACTTGAGTGATTTTTAAATGATCACAGGTTAATGCGTACAGTGTGTTTACAGCAAAAAAGTTGAAAAAATGCCTATTGTCCCAGCCAAGTACCCCAGATGGGGAGGGGGCAGCATTGAGCCCACGAGATGCCCCGTTGCCATCACCCCACACAGAGGGCATCCAGGCCACACGGGCCTGGCCTCAGTGAGGAGACAGATACGGAGCTGGCCAGACGGCATGCAGAGCCAGTACCAGGGCTGCCTCTGAAACATGAGAGTCTCAAAGCCATGCATCTCCCACCTTGCTGTGTGTTAAGTAACCCCCACATGATCTACTGGAAAGGCATCTGGCCGGAGCCGAGTGCCCTGGCCCCACCTGTTCTGGGAGGGAGCGGTGTTTGGCCGCAGCGGGCACTGTGCCCAGCACAGGACCCCTTCCATCCAGGCGGCCCCAGGCCTCTCGACGCCTGCGTCTCCCTTGCAGGGGATCCTCCTGGTATATGACATCACCAACCGCTGGTCCTTTGATGGCATCGACCGGTGGATCAAGGAGATCGATGAGGTAGGTGTGCACCCGCAGATACCCCTTCAGGGTCACCCTTCCCAGGTGTACACACTCCCATCCCCAGCAGGAAGCCGGGGGGCCCCATTTGCTGCCCCCCCTTGTGGCCCCGGCTCTGTGTCCCCATAGCACTCGATGGTCAGAGAATGGACAGTGAGGGCCCTGCCCACTTTGGGCCTGGGAGACAGTGCCGAGAGGGGGGTGTCCCATGTTTGTGCCTCTGCTGAGTCCTGTGTCCCCCCCAAGCATGCACCTGGGGTTCCCCGGATCCTGGTTGGGAACCGGCTGCACCTGGCCTTCAAGCGGCAAGTTCCAACAGAGCAGGCGCGTGCCTACGCGGAGAAGAATGGCATGACCTTCTTTGAGGTCAGCCCACTGTGCAACTTCAATGTCATCGAGTCCTTCACCGAGCTGTCCCGCATCGTGCTCATGAGGCATGGCATGGAGAAGATTTGGAGGCCCAACCGAGGTAAGGGGCTGCCCCGGGCTGTGGGCGAGAAAACGGAAACAGACTGGGGCTCCGGCAGCCCGCTTAGGGGCCGGCGTCCCGGGTTGCAGGGGAGGCCAGCTCTCCTCCACTGCTTCCCCGGCCCCCTGGCGGCTGAGCTGGCTAAGCTGGCTCTGTGTGGGGTCCTGGTGTTCCAGGAGGGGACTGTGCAGGACATCCTGTCTGCACCTCAGTGTTGGGAGGCAGTGCTGTGGACTCTGCCCCAGAGTGGAAAGGGAGCGGCTTCTAAGCCTGTCCTCCTAGAGCTGACCCATAAAGGTCCTGGCTGTGTGCTTCCCTGTCCCTCAGCCTGAGCCCCATCCCACCCGAGCTGCCAGAAGGGGCAGGGTGGCTGGAAGCCTATGTCTCCTGCCAGGACACTGGCAGCTGGGGTGGAGTGGTGGGTGTCCAGGGCAGCCCTCTCCAATCCTCGCAGTCTGACCTGTCCCTTCCCCCCACCGCGGTCTGACCCCCATGTGCAGTGTTCAGCCTGCAGGACCTCTGCTGTCGGGCCATTGTCTCCTGCACCCCCGTGCACCTCATCGACAAGCTCCCGCTGCCTGTCACCATCAAGAGCCATCTCAAGTCCTTCTCGATGGCCAATGGCATGAACGCCGTCATGATGCACGGGCGCTCCTACTCGCTGGCCAGTGGGGCAGGGGGCAGCAGCAACAAGGGCAACAGCCTCAAGAGGTCCAAGTCCATCCGCCCTCCCCAGAGCCCGCCCCAGAACTGCTCAAGGAGCAACTGCAAGATCTCCTAGCGGGCAGGCTGGGCACCACCCTGTCCAGTGCGCTCTGGGAGGGCTCGTGCTTGGGGAACGCTTCTGGCCGGGCGCTGGGCCTGGCGCCGTGTGCAGGGAAGGCTTTGGCCACACTGCCTCCCGGGAAGCGTGGGGGCACACGGCTCAGGCAGTGGTCTTCCGCCAGACAAGTTCCGTGGGACCGGAGAGAGCTGCGGGGGGTCTCGGGGGAGCAAGCTCGGGACCCCGCAGTGCGGTGCGGCTGGGAAGTGCCCAGGAGGCGGCTCTGCCTGGCTCCAGCCTCAAGGGGGTGCTGTCTCTGAGGACCCGGGAGGCCTGGCTCCCTTTCTTATTTATATGGAAGATGTTCACCTTTTTGTACATTTTTAAAGGACGGGCAGGGCAGCCTCCACGCAGCCGCATGGTGAGCCCCCGTCAGCAGTGGGTTCAGGCTTTGGGACATTTGGAGAGGGGGAGGGGATTTGAGGCAAAGATGAGGAATCCCGGTCAGGGCTTCAACCTTTGAATTCAGATACTTCATGCGGGGTGTGGGCTGTGCAGCAGCAGGGGGGGACACGTGGAAGCTCTGGGCAGTGCACTTGGGCCCATGGCTGCCTCCACCAGCCTTTGTGAACACGGGGGTTGGTGTGTGCCCCGAGATGATTGAGCGGCGGCTCCGGCCCCCAGCGGTCGGCGTGGTGTGGCTGCAGCTTCCTGGGCTCCCACCGGCCCTCCTAGACAACATCCTGTGCAGCTCGGATGGGCAAGGGCTCTGTTCCCCAGTGGACTGCTGGTGTTTCTCAGACATTCCTGTGTCTCAGAGGAAGATGCAGAAGACACTCAGTGGGTGTACACCCATCCGCCCGCTCGTGTCCCGGGGCACCTGGACTCTGTCCTCACCAGCTTCTGTTCGCTGGCCTCGGGTGTGACCCCACACCCGCTTCTTGCCTGGCGTCGGCTCTCATGGTTGCACGTCACCAAAACCGTTCTGACGCATCTCTTAGTGATGCTGCCTGGACTGGTCCCAGCGGTGGACCCCGAGCCTCTCCTGGAGACCCCACCAGCCAGCCCTGAGCAGGAGGCCTCGCCTCCTCCTGCCGCCTGCTGGCGACTTGGCCGCCGGTCACACTGGTGCTCAGCTCTACCTCCTCCTCACGGCCCTGCCGTGGGCTCTGGGACTCTACGTGCTGTGTGTCTGGGAGGCAGGGCGGGGCCGCGGCCTGCGTGTGCGGGGCGTCTGGGGTCCCTGATGAGGCCTGGCCTCAGCAGGCTCAGGCAGGGGAGGCCACACCCATCCTGCCTTACCTGCGGGGTTGCGGGGGGGGGGGGGCTTTCTTTGGACTTTGAACCCAGTCACACAGACTTTGTTTTGAGGACGTGGACAGTCCTACGTTCACTTTATGAACACTACCCTTTGCTGCTGTCTGACACGCCATTCCTGTGCTCAGTTTGGACGGTTTTCCTTTCTTTGTACAGTAAACGTGATTCAGCTCTGATTGCCAGGCTGAGAGCCTCTGGTTTTAACTGGCCAGGTGGTAGGTGTGGCTGGTGCCAGCCCTTGCCGTGAGGGCTGAGCCTGGCTGCTGCGGCCATCTCAGTCCAGGCCACACACGGGTCGTTTCTCGGGCCAGACAGGCAGCCCCCCGCACTCCAGAGGCTGCTACTCCCTGCTGCCTCCGAGTGTGGAAAGTGCGGACGCCCCGAGCCCCCTACCATGTCCGTGTAGGCGGGCCTAACTGCCTGAGGGTGGTGGGCACGGAGCCAGGGATGCAGTGAATGACTTGGGGGCTTCCCACCTGCAGAGACTCAGCGCGGCCTCCCGGCCCCAGACCCGGGCCTGGGGTGGGAAAGCCACCTGCTAATGGGGTTCAGTCCAGGGGTGTGGTGGCACTGATGGGTGGGGAACCCCTCTCAACGAGCCTCCCCACCCCCCACCTACCGCTCGGGGACCCAGGCCTCTAGCTGCAGCTCTCTGAGGGACTGTCCTGGATCTGGAACCCCCACACCCACGGTCCCCTTGTATGCATTCTCTGCATCCGGGGCGTCTCTTGGTCTCACTCTGACCAGACAAGGCTTTTATTTCCCTGCCTCTCAGGTCAGAAGGTCAGACGCAGGGCCATGGGACGTTTTCCATTCGGTCTCCGAGCAGATGCTCCTGGGGCCTCAGGCCCCTGGGAAGGGTTTGGAAGGGTAGAGTCCAGCGGCTTTGTCCTGTTGCTGCATTAGATCTCCCTGCCAGGCCTGCCAAGGAGGGGCTTCCATCCCCCCCACCCCCCCTCCTGCCCAGGGAAGGCTCCTCCTCCCAGGGGCTTGAGCAGCTTCTGGGAAACTTGCCCTTTCCAGGGTGCTTTTTAGATGACCTTGGCCTCGGGATTGTGTGGGGCTACAGCTACTGAAATTCAAGTCAGCCCAAGTAAACACTCAGTTCCTCGGTCCCAGCAGCCCCGTTTCCAGTGTTTGCTGCCTGTGTGACTGGTGGCTATGCCGGCCAGCATGGTTTCCTCCCTGCTGAGCGTCCTGGGACCTCACTTCTTTGGTACCTGCCTTGCCAGGTCGTGGAAGAGACTGGACCTGGAGCCATGCTGGGGGTGCTCCGGAAATGCAAAGTCCTGCCTTGCATCGGCCTCCCCCAACCCCCATCAGCTTCGGGTCACCGGAGGCCTCCACATTAGCAGAAAGGGTTTCAGTATGACCCCAAGACCTGTTGACATGTTGTGACCCTGAGAAGGATCACGGAGAACGTTGTGAGATTTTTTTCCTGCGGAGAGAGCAGAACGCGTACTTGTTGCGGGGTCGAACACACAGCCCCTGTGCCTATGGACGTGATGAATCTGGGTAAGGGGCTGGTGTGGACCTGCTGTGGGGGAAATCCAGGCCCTGGGCCAGCTGGGGCGGGTTGGGGAGCCAGAGGGGGTTGGCCAGCCCAGGCCTCTCCTCTGACCTGGGCTGGGAAGGTCTGAGAGGCAGCTTTGACCCCTGGGCCCTTCCATCCCCAGCCCAGTGCCTAGAGGGAGGAGGGGCTCCAATTACAGCCTCCCTCTCCTCCCATCCCGTCCCCTCCCCCGCCAGAGCCAGCCCTTCTCTGGCCCTTTTCCGCCCCTCCTGACCCTCGTGGCCAGTGTCTTCTGTGCTCCTGGGCCTCGGCCCCTCCCCAGCCTTCCTCCCCTCCCCACCCCCTGCCCTGTGCTGACCACAGAGGGGCCAGGCAGGGGAGGGGCTGGCGCCACATGCACAGACTCAGAGCTGTGAGAGGCCCGGAACCTACCCAGCCCCTCGCACTGCTGTGGGCTCGGACCTTGGGGGCCAGGGAAGAGCTCCGGGGATCAGTCGGGGGCCCGAGGGCAGGGGCAGCAACCGCAGGCCTGGAAAGGTAGATGCTTTCAGGGGGCAGGCTAGGCAGGGCCTGAGGAAGGACTGGTGGCACATCCCCCACCCCCTGGCCCAGCGGTCCCCATGCTGGCCCCAAGGCCGAGGCCACTCCTGCCGCTGCTCCTCGTGGTTGGGCTGACCTTGGGGGCCAGCCTGCCGCCAGGACCCAAAAGCCACTCGGGCGTGTGCCCCAACCAGCTCAGCCCCAACCTGTGGGTGGATGCCCAGAGCACCTGTGAGCGTGAGTGCGTCAGGGACCAGGTAAGCACAGGCCCTGGTTGGGGGTTGGACAATGTGGGGGGCTTAGGGCACCTTGGAGGCTGGGTGAGTCTGGGGAAGCCCAGCCCTACCCCTGCACACAGGCCTTGCCCACAGGGGGACCCCAGCAGCTGCACTGCGGCCCCATTCCTGGGAGTCTGCTGCCTCCTCAGGCTCCCCACACTTGGCTGCTGGGGTTTTAGGCTGCTCTGTGTATGAGGGTCCCAGAGGACACCCCCAGTCTTTGCCTTCATGTGTTTGAGATTAAGAGCTCCCTCCTCGCTCCCCAAACCTTCCCACCCCCACCCTAGGACCAGTTGTTCTCAGGACCAGCAAGGTCGAAAGGCAGGGGGGTTCACACGTGGACACCTGCCCTGCAGCCCTACCCTGCACCACATGCAGTGGCCTTGAGCACGTTGTACATGGCCCCCCACCCCCCACCCCTGCCCCGGGCCTTGGTTTCCTCGTCGGTGTGATGAAACCTGCTCTGTGGGGTGAGGACCTGAGGATTCAGTGAGCTTCGGTGACGTGACACACTCGACAGGGTCTGATCGTAGTAGAGCATGGGAAGGAAATTTCTGGGAACGTGTCAGGCTTTCCCCGGGGGACACAGGTTCCGGGAAGGGCAGTTGGGGCTCAGCTCCCTCTGGACAAGCTGACAGGCGGAGCTAGGGTGCCCACTGAGCTACTCCCCACTCCCCAGGACTGCGAGGCCGCCGAGAAGTGCTGTACCAATGTGTGCGGGCTACGGAGCTGCGTGGCGGCGCGCTTCCCCGGCGGCCCAGTGGTGCCCACACTGCTGGCCTCGTGTGAGGGCTTCACGTGCCCTCAGCAGGGCTCCGACTGCGACATATGGGATGGGCAGCCCGTGTGCCGCTGCCGGGACCGCTGCGAGAAGGAGCCCAGCTTCACCTGTGCCTCGGACGGCCTCACCTACTACAACCGCTGCTACATGGACGCGGAGGCCTGCCTGCGTGGCCTCCGCCTACACGTTGTGCCCTGCAAGCACGTCCTTAGCTGGGCGCCCAGCAGCCCAGGGCCACCGGAGCCCACGGCCCGCCCCACGCCCGGGGACGCCCCCACGCCGCCTGCCCTCTACAGCAGCCCAGCCCCACAGGCGGTATACGTGGGGGGCACCGCCAGCCTCCACTGTGATGTCAGCGGCCGCCCGCCACCCGCCGTGACCTGGGAGAAGCAGAGCGACCAGCGGGAGACCCTGATCATGCGGCCAGACCAGATGTATGGCAACGTGGTGGTCACCAGCATCGGGCAGCTGGTGCTTTACAACGCCCGGCCCGAGGATGCCGGCCTCTACACCTGCACGGCACGCAACGCCGCCGGCCTGCTGCGGGCCGACTTCCCACTCTCCGTGGTCCGGCGGGAGCCGGCCGGGGCCGGGGCACCCATGCCCTCTGGCCCGGCCGAGTGCCTGCCTGACCTGCGGGCCTGCAGCACCACGGCCCCCGGCCTGGTCCTCTGGCACTTTGACCCACAGCGGGGAGGCTGCATGACCTTCCCCGCCTGCAGCTGCGAAGGAGGTGGCCGCGGCTTCGAGACCTACGAGGCGTGCCAGCAGGCCTGCGCCCGGGGCCCTGGCGATGCTTGCGCGCTGCCGGCTGTGCAGGGCCGCTGCCAGGGCTGGGAGCCGCGCTGGGCCTACAGCCCGCTGCTGCAGCAGTGCCACCCCTTCGTGTACGGCGGCTGCGAGGGCAATGGCAACAACTTTGAGAGCCGCGCGAGCTGTGAGGACGCCTGCCCCGTGCCGCGCACGCCACCCTGCCGGGCCTGCCGCCTCCGCAGCAAGCTGGCACTGAGCCTGTGCCGCAGCGACTTCGCCATCGTGGGGCGGCTCACCGAGGTGCTGGAGGAGCCCGAGCCGGGGGGCGGTGGCATCGCCCGCGTGGCCCTGGATGAGGTGCTCAAGGACGACAAGATGGGTCTCAGGTTCTTGGGCACCAAGTACCTGGAGGTGACGCTGAGTGGTATGGACTGGACCTGCCCCTGCCCCAACGTGACGGCAGGCGATGGCCCGCTGGTCATCATGGGGGAGGTGCGAGACGGCGTGGCCGTGCTGGATGCTGGCAGCTACGTCCGCGCCGCGAGCGAGAAGCGCGTCAAGAAGATCTGGGAGCTGCTCGAGAAGAAGGCCTGCGAGCTGCTGAACCGCTTCCAGGACTAACCCCGCCCGCCCTGCCTTCCTGTCCTGCTGAATAAAAGCCAGCGCTTCCCCAGACCTCGTGGCCTACAGGTGCTGGACCTCCTGGGGGGCCCTCAGCTGGTGTCCCGCTAGCACACTGGAGCATGGGCTCTAGTCCCAGTTCCGTCCTTGGGAACCTGCGGTTTCCCTGCAGCAGCACAAGCCTCTTGGGGCAGGAGAGCCCAGCAGCCGGCTCAGCCAGCAGGGCCTGAATTCTCACTCCCTCCTCTGTCCCCTCAGCAGAGCAGCGGGTCCAGGAGGCCCCTAAGCCCTGACCCCACAGGCCAGACTCCCCCCTGCCCACCAGGTGTGGTCCCAGGAGGAGGCATGGTTGACACCAGCAGTGAGCAGCAGACAACACTTTATTCCCAGGTTCTAAGCAGCCCTGTGGCCATCAGCCAAGAGCCCCCAGACCGGGCAAGGCCAGTCCTCATGGCCCAGCCCTGGGAGGCAGGGGCTGGCCTCTGGGTTTGGTCCAGGGGAGGGGGGGGATCTTGGTGGAAACACAAACACGCGAGAGCAGGTGCAGTTACTCTTTCCGGAATATCAGGCACTTGTTGTTGGCCGGCATGTCCACCTAGGGTGAGGCGTGGGCTGCAGCGGCTGACCAGGCCCCCAGGGAAGCGGCCCATGCCACCCGCCCTCCCACCTACCATCCTTTCAAGGAGCAAGCCGCTGGCTTGGCCCAGGTCCTCCAGGAGGGCCGTGTCCCGCAGCCCCCACTCAGGATTCCTGCAGTGAGGGCCAGGTGGGGGAGAAGGTGCAGTTGTGGCTGGGGGCAGCCACCCAGCCCACCTGCCCTCCCAGCCAGGCCCCCCACCCACCATCCAGCTCTGACCTGCATCTAAGAGTCAGATCAAAATCCACGTTACTCTGCGGAGTGATCTTCCCATTGACGGCATAAGGCTGCGGAGATGGGGACACGGCTCTGCCCGCCACCCACAGACACGGGGTCAGCCATGCCTCCATGGACACACAGGCAGTCTTGCACGCCGGCACCCAGAGAATGAAAAGGACACACCCCTCCCTGCCCCCAGGGCGGGGGACAGCTGAGGACCAGCTGGTGAGCCAGGGGGTTGGAGGGAGACTGGCAGATGACCAGGAGTATGTTCAAGAAGGAAGACCCTGAGTGCAGGGCAGTCGAGGAAGAAGGCAACTGAAAATACTGCAACCAAAAGGAGGGAGTGCAGAAAGTAGGACGCAGCCGAGACTGGCTGGGATCAAGATTGCCTGCCAGGGGAGGCCCATCATCTCTGGCCGAAGCACTCACCCCATAGGTGATCAGAAGCGCCTTGGGTTTGAGCAGATGTCCCGCTGCCCTGAAGAGCCCCTGGGGAGTGAGGAAGCAGGATGTCAGTGAGGAGCTTTCTCTCCCCAGGCACCTGAAAGAGCCCTCCGCCTCTCTGGCCAGAGACTCAGCCTGACCTCCTCAGGCCTCAGTGCCACCCTGCTCCCTCCCGCTGCACCCAGAGGGCTGCCCCGCGGCGCAGGTGGGTGGCTCGCCCACGCGCCCACAGACCTCGGTGCAGTTCAGGGGGCTGATGTGGATCATGTTGATGCACAGCAGCAGATCCAGCGACTGGGGCAGTATCCCGCCCCAGTGCTCCCAATCCCAGGTCACGTCCAGGTACAGCGGGGCCTTCACGTTGGACAGCCCCTGAGCCTGAGTGGTGGCCGAGATGCTGTAGAAGGGCAGCACATGATTGAGGGGAGCTGAGGGGTCCCCCGGTGGCGTGGGGAGTCGGGACAGCGGAACAGGCCCTGCTCCGCCTGACCCCGCGCCCCGCCCGCTGTCGCCAGCCGGGGTCCCGCCTTTCCCGCGCCCCGCCGCACCTGTCCAGGCAGCGCTGGTCCACGTCGGACGGCTGCCACTCGGCGTGGGGGAAGGCCCGAGCGAAGTGGGCCGTGTGCTGGCCGGAGCCCGAGGCCACCTCCAGCACGCGGACGCCGCGCTGGGCCGGGTCCATGTACTGCCGCAGCACGCGTAGGATAGGCTCCTTGTTCCGCTCGGCCGCCGCCGCCACCAGCATCGCAGCAGCTCAGCCGGCCCGCGGGTAGCCGCAGTCAGTCGCCGCGAGACCCACCAGGCGCCGCAGTCCGACGCCGCGCGGCCCGCCGGGAGTTGTAGTCCGGCGCCGCGAGGCCGGCCGGGAGTTGTAGTCCGGCGCCGCAAGGCCGGCTGGGAGTTTAAAGGGCCGGCAGCCGCAGGAGGCGCACCGGGAGCCGCAACCCCGGCGGGGTCATTGGTCGGTTGAGTTGGGGTCGCTGGCTTACAGGCGACCGTCAGCTCAGTACCCAGTGGCCCATGGTCGCTCCGGCATTTTCATGGAGCTTGTCACTGTCTCATTCTCCAAAATTGCCTTGTCCGCGTTGCTCCGGAATGGGTGTTTCCTTGTGGTCTTCTTTCCTTTTGAAATCAGTGTCGTTAGCGAGAATTAGTTTGTTGAGATGGGGAAAATGAAAACTGCCAGATGCGCCGCCCGGGAATCGAACCCGGGTCGCAAGAATGGGAATCTTGCATGATACCACTACACCAGCGGCGCTGCTGACACACCAGCCGCCCGCGAGATTTAAGGGATTGTGACGCAACCTCCCGGCGCGCAGAGGTATCATAGTGCATGCGCGCCGCCTCTGGGCGGGGGGAATGCCCGCCCCAGCGCCCCGAAGCCGGCGGGCGGGTTGGGGTGGGAGCACTGGGACTGGCCGGGTCCGCGTGAAGTGGGGACGGGGGCAGTCTCGCGGTGTCACCTGGGCCCCCAGCGCTAGAGCGGACAGAGCGGGCCTAAGGGACTAGGGCTGAGGGCCACGATTCGCGCCCGCGCCTCGGAAACCATGGCAACTGCGGGCGTCCGGAGCCGGTGGGGCGTGGCTACGATAGCGTTCCTTGTGGGCGGGCCTTCGCGGTTGGGCGGGGCTCATGCCGGCTGGGCGTGGGTGGAGCGGTCCTGGCCGGCAGGGACCGGACGGACCGGAGCTGTGATGCTCAGGGCTGTCCTGCGAGGCCGACAAGACCCGCGCTAGCCCAGGGTTTGCGGACGTTGTGAGGGGGCTCGGCGACCCCGGAATCGAGTCGGAGGCTTATTTGTTGTGTCCAACGGTATTTCCCCGGTGGTCAGCTTGGGGCCCGTGGCTCCGAGGGGCCCCGTTCTGCAGGCTGAGGGCCGCGTTCCGTAGCGGGCTAGATTCTCTCCCTTGTTTGCGCAGTTTTTCACGAGAGAGACCCCCATACCTGACAGCACTCTGGCCGGGGCTCAGAGGGTGGCCCCAACCCAGGCTTTAACCTGAGATTGTCGTGGAGGGGCCGGAATGTGGTTGGGTACGGCGAGGACAGTCTTGCAGCTTAGGGTGGGGAAGTGGCGTAGGATTGTCGGGGCTGGACCGGCCCCCTAGGGAAGTGCTACTCAGTCGGCGGCCGCCCCCTCCAGGCAGCCACACTGGCATTCTGCACGTGACCACCCTTCCCTAGGCTTTCTGTTTCACAGGCCAGAGCTTCCCTTGCCTGAATCACCTTTTGCCTCCTTCCACCTGGTCTGCCGGCTGAGCTGGGCATTTTCTGTATCCTTCCATGTGCGGGGGCTGAGAGGAGCATCTGCTGTGTTTCATAACAAGCCCCTTTCAGCCTCACCTGGGTTCACACCAACCAGGTAACTCTTGGAGCTCAGGGGTTGGTAGCCAGGAGACCGGACGTGTGATTAGAAGGCTGGAGACCAAGCCCATCACCAACCATGAATGATCTCATCAACCACACCTGTGTAACGGGGCCTCCCTAAAAACCCAAAATGAAGGGGTTCTATTGCCTCTGGGCACATGGAGGTGCCAGGAGGGGGAGGGTGGTGCTCCCAGGCAGGAGGCAGGGCCTGGAAGCTCCGTGCTCCTTCCCCACCCTCACACCCCCCCTACCAGCCCTGTGGGTGTCTTCTATCTGCTGTTCCTGAGTTACAGCCTTGATGATGAACCAGTAACCGTAAGTAAGGTGTTAGGTCCCTGAGTTCTGTGCGCTGTTCTAGCAAATTATGGCGCTCGAGAAGGGGGTCGTGAGAACCCTGACACAGCTGGTGACAGCCTGGATGTGGTGGCGAATTCATGGGATGGGGCCTTCAGCCTGGGGGGAGTCTGCATTCATGCCTGGCAGATAGTGTCAGAATTGACTTAAATTGTAGGACATATATAAAGTGTTGCAAGTGTTTTCCTTTACACCAGGTGTTCTGTAAGAGGCAAGAAACCAGACTGACCAGTCTCCCTGATTCCTCCAGGTCATATGGCCCAGTTTCAGAAGCTGCCCAAATACCCAGCAGTGTCTTCATTTAACAGCACTTGGCCTTAGGTTGTTATCTGATGTAGGAAAGATGTTAGGGTTCGAAGCCTATGGCCAAGAAAGAATTCTTGGGACATCTTTGGTGCAAAAAGGTGGTTTTATTAAAGCACAGGGACAGGACCTGTGAGCAGAAAGAGCAGCGCTGGGGTCATGAGGAGTGGTCTTTCTTTCTTTCTCTTCCTTTCTTTCTTTCTTGATTTTATTTATCTATTTGACAGAGAGAGGAGGACAGAGAACGCAGCAGGGGGAGAAGGAGATGAGACTCCCCGCTGAGCAGGGAGTGAAGGCAGATGCCTAAAGACTGAGCCACACAGGCGTCCCCCCATTACATCCTTTCAAGTTGGGAGGGGGTTAGGGACAGTGTAAGTCTCTAAAGCATTTGGAAGCAAGATTTCCAGGACCTTGAGAGGGCTAGCTATTGTTGGGTAAAGGTCATTTATTACCATCTAATAAAACCTGAGTCATGAGACCCTTCAGATGTATATCGGTGGGCCATATGCTTGGGGGATGCTGCCAACATGTATCTTGGGGGGTAGAGATAAAGGAAGTTTCCAAAGGAATTCTTACATGTTAAAGTAGACTCACAGGGTCCTGGGGGTGGGGGTGGGATGAGGCTAGGATTGCCTTTTGCCCTTAGCAAAGTGTCAACATCGAGGCAGTTGAGTCCCTAGAGGAATGTCACTCTGCCTGTTTCAAGGACTTGTCCGTGGGCTGCAGGCAATAACCACCTGCCACATTTGCTGCTCTGGGCTGGCCTGGGCTGGCCGCTGTGTGAGCTACCCCCTGCCTGCTGCGCTCACCAAGCTCAGAGCTAGAGAAGGCTGCAGTGTGTGCACGAGTGTGTGTGAGTACGTGTATACACATGTGAATGCTTGTGTGAACACGTCCGAACACACATTTTCTGGAAAGTCATGGTTGTGTGTCAGACTCTGGGAGGGTCCAGGACCCCCAGTGAATGCTGAACAGTTGTCCCCTGGAAGTATCTGACCCTGCTAGGGCCTGTCCTCGGTGGGGCATTCTAGGGTCTTGTCTCCTGAGGCAGAATTTAGCTCCCAGGCAGCCCTCCTGAGCTTCTCACCGACTGTGTGCAAGGTACCTCGACATGGACCACCTTTCCAAATAAGTGTTTAGCCACATGATAACTCTCTAGTGCCCAGAGAGCTGTGAGCAGACAGGAGACCCCCGATGGGGGTGCAGGCTTCCTCCGCAGCCCTTTGCCAGGCACTGGGCACTCCCCTTCCTGTCCCCTCATCCACCGCCACCTTCCTTGATACACTGGCTTCCTAGAGCTACTGTAACAAATGACCCCAAACTCGGTGGCTTAAAACAATGGACATTTACTTTCCCATACTTCTGGAGGCTCCAGGCTCCAAGTCCGAGAGAAGAATGGTCTGCTCCCTCCAGAGGCCCTACAGGAAGAAGGTGCCTCAGCGTTTCTGGGGGCTGGTGCCTGCAGGCACTCTGCCTTCACCTTCACCTAATCTCTCTACCTGCGTCCAGACGTTCCTCTTTCTCCTACAAAGACACGTCATTGGATTTAGGGCCCATCCTAATCCAGGATGGCCTTATCTGGAAACCTTGCCTAACTTACAACCACAAAGACCTTTACTCCAAGTAAGGTGACATTCTGAGGTTCCCAGTGGGCATAGCTTTTGGGGGGACACCACTCAACCCCCAGTGCACTTAGGTTTGGGAATGGCAAGCAATCCCTGAAACTGGGCAGTAGACCCAGGAGCCCCCAGCCAGCGCCTTTCTGGGGAGTCTGCTGGCCGGCCCTCCACCATCCTGGATCTGCCTTGGTGAGGGCGTAGATTTCAGATGGAGCCAGTTACTGAGAATGACTGAAAACAAACTTCCTCCTCTTTCAGGTTAAGTTTTAGAACTGTATTTAGAATCTTTCAAAGAAAATTTCTATTTGCGTTTATTACGACGACTGGGGTCTGTGAGGCGAAGGCCTTTTCTTACCCAGACAGCCATTTTATCTGCAAGCTGGGTGAGGCCCCTCCCCCGGGGCGGCTGCCCTGCTGGGCTTGGGGGCAGGTTCCCAGCCTCCCCAGCAACAGGGAAGGTGGCGGGCCCTGCAGGGGCTTCACAGCCAACACCCCCACCAGGGTGTGTCCTGGGAGCAGTGAGGCTGCCAAGGCCCCCTCTGGGGGAGACCAGTCCCCCCAAACAGATGCAGGGGGCTTCACTGCCTGCCCCCACCACCTGGCCTTCCTCCTCCTTCAGCTATCCGGGGGACCCCTGGGCTCTCCCTCACCCCATACCCCCCCTCCCCTGCTGCTCCTGCACCTTCTCCCCTCCCACCTGTCAGGATCATTTGTGCTCAGGGACTTCTCCCCAGAGCTTTGAGGGCTCTGGACCCAACCTTTGACCTGAAACAAGGCCTGCAGGTAGGGCTTGAACGTTAGGGCCTCAAGGCCTGGGTTTTCAGAGCGCTTAAGGGAAGGCTGGGCCTGTCTGTGCAGGCCTGAGGGGTGTGCCCGAGGGAGGGGCTCTCAGAGTCTGTGTCAGCCTGGGGGCCCTGCTCCCCACACCAGGGGGAACACAGCCCCTCTCCCCGAACCTTGGCTGTCTCCCCAGCATGAGTGAGCAGTGTGCTCAAGGCCAGGCAGCCAGCACAGATGGTGCAGGACCACGCTGGCCTTGAGTCGGCTATGGGGAGGGACAAGGGACAGACACTGCAGGGTGCACAGGGGGGCTGGGGAGGGGCTTGCTCGGGCCTGGACTCCTTGGACATGCTCTTGCCTGGGGGGACCCTGTCTCCCCTCTCAGGATCATAGGCCTGCGCAGGCCAGCCCACCCTGCGGAGCAGGAAGCTGGGGAGGGGGGCCCCTGGGACACACACTTCCCTAAGAGTACCTGAGCAGGCCTGGCTCCCTCCCACCAGCCACAAAGGTTCATGGGAAAGCTGGGGGGTGGGGAGTTTCTCCTGTTGTCACTCCCTGCCCCAGCGACAGGACTACCCCCCAACCTTCTCAATGTCCTGCGCTCTGCCTGGGGGGTGGAGAGGCTTCAAGTCTGCTCTCAAAGTGAGGTGTGGGGGGAGCTGGGCCTTTGTTCCAGGGGCCCACTGGGCCGCTGCTGAGGTAAGTCCCCTTGCCCCTTGGGGGTGGCAGCTCCCAGACCAGGCCCCAGTGGACACCCCAGGCCCTGGTGCCTGCTGGACTGAGCTTCCTCAAATATTTGTGGAACAGCATGTGAGCCCCGCAGTGGCTGTAAGAGCCTCGGGGGCGGATTCCTGGACAACTCTGGGCAGAGTGTTTTCTTGGGTGGGGGCATGCTAAGGATTGAACTCAACCAAATGGAGGACGAGGGGAGCCTTCCGTTGAGCACGCTAGGTCCTGGGGCTCACAGACCCTAGAGTGTGGTGCTTCCTCTCCCACAGCCTGGGCAGCAGTGGGGAAACCCCCAGCCCTGAGCAGCCCCTGAGCTGGGAGAAAGGGGCACTTCTATGTAATTCTCAGGAAGGAACCCCGGGGGTGGAGCCCGCCTCCCCCTTCGTTCCAGGCAGGCCCCCTGAGTCCGGGGACCAGTAACTGGTCCTCTCCAACTGGGATGAAACAGGCAAACCCGGCATCCTCACTCACCCACCTCCTCTCTCCCCAAGATCCCACCCCCACACTGCTCCCAGACTGAATGGGGTCCCCCGTCCCTGGAGCTGGGGGTGCGTCTTGGCATGGGAGGCTCAGTCAGGGAGCAGAGTGCACCCCACTATTCCTGTCCCACAGAGTGCAAGGGAGATTCCCAGGACGCCAGGTTTCTGCCCAAACCCACTTTTTCTGGTCTCCGGCCCCTTGGTCCCAAGACCCAGGCCAAGAATGACCCTTCACGCTGGCCCAGGCCCACCCAGGCACCTTGGCTGAAGCTCCCCAACGTGAATGGGAACAGCCTTGCTTCCAGGGTGCGCACAGAGCGCCCCCAGCGCCTGTCAACGCGCCCACACCCGCACCCCCGCAGCCGCGGCTCACCTGGCCTTCCGGCGGTGGAAGGCCGTCCCAGGCCCCAGGACGCTTCCTCTGCCTTGGCCGTGGGCCATGTGGGGTGGGGCGCTGGTGGCTGCCCGCCGCAGCCAGTCTCCCAACGGCCGGAGCGCCACCTCCGCCGCGTGCCCCGAGGCCCGCCCGGACGCGCGGGCCCTTTAAGGGCCGGGGGCGTGTAGCGGCCCGCCCCCTCCCCGCCGCGCCCGGCCGCCCGTTAAAGGGGCCGCGCCCTGGGCCCCCGCCGAGTGCGAGCCCCGGCGGAGGGCTGGGCAGGGCGTGCGTCCCGGTGAGCGCGCGGGCGGCTGGCCCCTCCGCACCATGTACACCATCACCAAGGGGCCCAGCAAGCTGGTCGCGCAGCGCCGCACAGGTGCGCGGGGCGGGGGGCGGGCAGGGCCGCCGGGGGGAGGGTCCGCGCAGTGACTGCCCAGGCGCGGCGGCGGCTGACGCGCCCCGTGCCCGCAGGTCCCTCGCAGCAGCAGGTGGAGAGCCGGCTCGGCGAGCTCCTGAAATGCCGGCAGCCCGCGCCGCCGACCCCACCGCCCCCGCGGGCGCAGCCGCCGGGACCCTGGCCCCTGTCGAGGTGAGACGCGCGGGCCGGCTGCCGGGGGCCGCGGGACCGAGAGGTTGACCTTGGGGAAGGTTCGCGGAGACCCGGCCACATGCTCGGGGCGGGCGCGGGGCGGGGCGTTCGACCCCGCCCGCGCGGGCGGCTCTGGCCTCCGCACCTCCGCGCCTCCGCCTCACCTGGCACCTGGCAGGGTCGAAGGGGGTTGGGGCGGATGTGCACGATCCCCTCTCCCACTCTGGCCCAGTGGGACCTTGGCGGAGCCCGAGTGGGGAGGAAGCGGACCAGCTCCTGGATCGGAGGAGCTCCACGCGGCTGACTCAGATGCCCCGGGCGACCTTGGGCGGCGAGGCCAAGGTTTGAGGCGAGCTGCCCAGGAAGGCGGGAGCAAAATCTCCTAGGGTGCTGGCCCGCAAGGCCTCCTGGCTCTGGCCCCGGCGGGAGGCTGCCAGCCCCGTCCTTGCAGGGCGGGCTGGGGGAGAAAGTGCACGTGGTTCCCTTTGGCCCTACCAGGGCACCGCTCTCCTGTGCCCTTCACCCAAAACACCCTGGCTGGGCACTGGAGGCCTCCCGCAGATGCTCAGGCCTTGTCGGAACCTGCAGTTTTCTGCCTTTCCTGACCAGCAGTTTTGCCAGTGCCCAACGCCTGCCCCACAGGAATCTCAGTCCTGGCCAATTTGGCCTCCACATGACCTTGACCTGGAGGTCAGATCCCCCCCCCCCCCCCCGCCATCCCCCAGAGCTGAGCCTTTTACTTTTTTGTTTCAGCTCTGGACCTTTGGTTTCATTTATTTTATGCATTTCCTGGACCCAGGGCTTTCTTCCAAGCCCACAAAAGCCTGAGGCCTCCTGGGCTAGGCGGTGGGTAGGGGCAGCAGATAAACAGGGTGGCTGACTCTGGCCCCCCCCAGGAAGCTCTGAGGGTGCAGGTGGTGGGGGCCTGCCAGGAGGGGGCAGCCTGTGGGGATCTTTCTGGGCTGAGGCCCTTCCCTAGGGTGGAGGTGGCTTCTGCTGGGGGCACGTTGACATTTTGAGGTTCCTTCCTAGTGATGAAAACGTTCTAGGGCAACCACAGGTGGGTTCTGGGGAGACAGGGGAGCAGGGCCTTGGAGGGCAATTCCTGGGACCCAGGCTGTGTTATAATATTGCCTTGTGATTTCAGCTTTGGTCCTCACGGCTGCCCTGCTGCCCAGAGGAGTAAACAAGACATAGGTGTATAGCCACGACTGGTCACCTAGGCAGATAACCTGGGAGCAGAGTGGTCCAGGGTGCCCCCCACCCTCTCACCTGGAGAAGCGTGTCACCTCCCTCTCCTGAGTCCCATTGCTGATGAAATCAGGGTGCATCTGTGCCAGGGTTGGGGCGTGCTGGGGAGGGAGATGGGAAAGACCACGTAGAGCCCTTAACCCCCCCGCCAGGCCTCACCTTCACCCTCAGCCAGTTGGGCATACTGCAGCCTGCTGGGTTAGGAGGGTGCTGACCAGCCTGGTCTGAGGGAGCACAACCCTCAGCTTGTCTCAGTCCTGTGTGGGTCCTACTGCGTGCCAGGGAGTGGTAGCAGGCACAGCATGTGCTGGCTGTGCTGGGCCCCCTCCCAGTCCCCGTGGCCTTGAAAAGACCCTGCTGGGAGGCCAAGTGAGTCCCCCCTACCCCCTCTCCTGAACTTTCTTGGGGGGCCACCTTCCAGAGTGGCTCCACGCGCCTTCCTATCCTGATTTTTCCCCTGTAGTGCCTTTTTACTACCCGGCATCCCTCACCCCGACTTGCCCACAAGACAGGGGGTGTCTGGGCCACTGGTGCATCCTCCACGCCTGGTGTGCCTGGTGCGCTGCAGGTGCTCAAAGTGTCTGACCCGCTAATTCTGCAGGCTGGGTTCTGGCCTGCCATGGGGCCGTGCCTCTGAGCCGCTCTTGCTCCCGGTGTGAGACAGAGAGCAGAGATCAGTGCAGGTGACATTCATTGTCAGGAAGAAGATAAAATGACGCCACGTGACCCCCAGATGGTCATGCGAGCAGGTTGGGGAGGTGGCCTAGCAGTTTTACTGAGTCGTGGGCTTTGAGGTCAGGCAGGTGTGCAGGTATGTTCTGGAACTAGCAGCCATTCACAGTGTGTGACTTTGGGCGGGTCACTTCCCTGTCTCGAGCCCAGGGTCCTGGGCTGGAAATGGGTGGGTGGTTTACCGTGGGAGTCAGAGAGGAGACTCAGTGCCAGGATGCCGTGTGGGTGCTGAGCAGGGACACTGGAGTGTGCCTACGGCAGCATCCTTGGGAGCAGGCACAGTGTGGCCTTCATCCACAGGTGCATGCTCGAGCCAGGGCCCTTTCCCCAGAGGGCCTGTGGAGCATCCTATGTAACTAAGTCCCAGTGGGGTAGGGGGTTAGTGGGGTAGGGGGTTAGGTGGGTGCCTGCCTGCTCGGGCCCCTGCTCAGCCCTGGTCAGGCCACGGCCTTGGTCCCTGTGACCCACAGCCCACGGCTGCAGTTCCCTTTTTGGTTTTCCTTCTTCGGTGTCCAGCCTCCACTTTCCTGGAGTCTGCAGGCTTGTGGGGGTGGGGGTGGCAGGCAAGGGGCTGTCCAAATTGAGGACAAACCTTCATACCTTCTGGTTGGTGCAGCTCAGGCCTGGGAGGAGCCCCACCCCCCTACATTTTCTTCACTGGCCTGGAGCTGGCGGGACCGGTGCCCCTCAAGACACTCCTCTTTATTTTAGTGCCCCTCTCAGCCAAGGAGGACCCCCGAGCGGCGGTGGGGCACCTGAGCCCAGGAAGGCGAGCAGGCCGGCGGGACCGCGAGTGCCTGGCGGAGTGGCACGTGCAGCCCAGGACTCCCGGCTCCCACCTCCTGCTGTAGGTGCGGGCCCCGCTCCCTCCACGGCCCCATCCTGGGCTTTGTGTGTGCAGGGCTAGGCCAGCTGCCGCCGGCAAGCGCAGCCCATCAGTGCCCTGGGCCCCACTGATCGCTGACCAGGACAGGCCCAGTGGCTCCCTGGACATCCCATGCCCACCAGGCTGAGCTCTGGAGCCTGGGGGCCATCGCCTCACTCAGCATTCCCAACCCCCTGTGGGCAAGAGTGTTGCCTCGTCTGGGACCTGCAGGGATGGGCTGGGGTTGAAGTCACAACTTCTCCACTCAGTGCTCTTTGGCCAGACCATCACTTAGGGCTCATCCCCACGGAGCCTGGGGCAGCCAGGAAGAGGGAAGGGCACCGATTGCCTGTTTGTTCTTTGGGTCCTTTCTCCCACACTGGGGACAGTGGTGAGATGGAGAAGCTTCGGCAGGGGGAGTAGAGAAAATGGCCGAGAATTGTGCCTGGCCAACTGTGGTTGGGTCAGAGTGATCTGGTTATAGCTTAGATCTGAACGTGGGTTGCTGGAGGCCTGGCTGGTCCTGGGGAGGTGGGATGCAGGTGGCAGTAGGGGTGCCCGAGAGACCCTTGGAGGAGTACCTGTGTGCCTTGAGCATGGAACCCTGCTGGGGGTCTGGGGCACAGGGCTGGGGACTGCAGGTGCGAATCGAGCTGCTGGGGGTTTGGGCCTGCAGGAGAGAGGCCTCCTCGGCCAACACTGCAGCACGCAGCTACCTTGAAGGTCAAGGAAGTGCCCAGGCTGGGCCTGGCCTGGGAGTGGTGGGGGTGGCCTGAAGCTGCTCCTGGAGCTTTGCCAGGCATCACCTGGGCTTAGGACAGTTGCTGACTGGCTCCTCCCCCCTCCACAGTCCGGGACCAAGGCTTGTGTTCAATCGGGTGAATGGCCGGCGGCCCCCTGCCACATCTCCATCCTTTGAGGGAACCCAAGAGACCTATACGCTGGCCCATGAGGAGAACGTCCGATTTGTGTCTGAAGGTAGTGTCGAGGCCCAAGGGTGAGGCCTGGCCCCTGTTCCTCCTCCCCACTGTGACCTCGTTCCAAGCAGCTAGAAGGCTGGGTTCTTCCTAGGCTGTCTCCCTGTTGGTCCTGTGACTGTCCAGTGGGCTGCCTACTCCCCTTCTTAGCTGGGGTCCTGGGTGGGAAACAGGAGGCCAGGGGCCTGGCTTAGCCCTACTGCCCTCCCCCCACAGCTTGGCAGCAAGTGGAGCAGCAGCTGGGTAGTGGCCCAACTGGCGATAGTGGGCCCAGACCTGTGCAGTACGTGGAGAAGACCCCCAGCCCCCGGCTGCAGAGTGAGCCCCCCCTGCTCTCAGGGAGTCCCCTCCACTCCCTCCAACCCTCACCTGGGCCCTGCTGCGTTCTAGCCCTAGGGGATTGGGGAGGGCGCTTGAACTTGACCTGCTTCTTCCCAGTGCTTGCTACATTTGGGTCTGGGGGAGGGGCTTGTGGTCAGCTCAAAGGGACAGACACTGACTGATCCGGGAGGCAGCATCACTGCCCAGCCTTCTACTCTGCCCACAGACTTTGTGCCCATTGACCTGGACGAGTGGTGGGCACAGCAGTTCCTGGCCAGAATCACTAACTGCTCCTAGCTGCCTTGGAAGGAATGCTGCCCCAGGGCCCAGCCCTGCCCCCCGCCAGGAGAGGACCATGGAGCCCTATTTAGCTGCCGAGGCAGGCCATCCTTCACCCTGAGTCTGGCCAGGAGCCGGCCACACCTGAAGTGCCAGCATTTGGACTCTTGCACCTGCTGACCCCTTGGACCAGCTGTCCTATGCTGCCAGGGGCCAGAAGCTGAATCTGTCTGACCTCAATCCTGCTCACTGTGCCCAGGGACCAGCCCCTGGGGCTGGCAGGGAGGAGCTCCACACTAATAAAGTTGAGAAACTGCCCTTTTCGAGTGGCCTTTATTTGGTATGTGGGGGGTGGGGTCAGGGTCCTCACATACTAGGTCCAGCCTTTCCTTGGCCCCATAGCTGCAGCTCTGCCCAATTCTGGCCTTCCTGTGTCCTGATGGAGGTGCTGGGGCCCTCTCTGGGCCAGCTCATCTTTCTTGGATGTCGGTGGACCTTACCCGGCACCACCCAGCTTTCTCTCCCCGTTGGCAAGTGCTTGAGCCCCATCTCACGATACACAAATGTTATCAACTGGCCGGGGTATCGAGTCCTAGAGGCCCAGGATTGGGGCCAGATCTCAGGAGGCTTAGTCCTGTGTCTTAACCCCCCCAGACCGAGTTGCCCTGTGGGACACTGCTTTGCCTCCTGGGTAGGTGGCATTGCCTGCGAAGTGGAGTGGAGTACCCCAGGTGTGGACGCTAGAGGGCTGGAGGTAGTAGAGTGGAGCCCAGTGGGCTGGCAGTGAGTGTGACAAGCGCATTCCCATACATAGGGGTGCGTGTCCTTCCCGATATACAGAAAGGAAGTCGGGCACCTCCCTGGTTCCCGCTGTAGCCTTGCTAGGGCATCCATAGGGTCCTGGCTTGGGAGTGGCCGCAGAGGCCCGGGCCGCGACGGCTCTCAGGGTGCCCGAGAGGCCGCCCACCGCGAGCCCGGCGAACCTTCAACCCCGACCGCGGTCACGCGACCCGGCTCTGGTCGCACCGCGGTCACGTGGCCAACGCCGCGCCGTCGTGCGCCCCGCCCCACCCCTCAGGTCACGTGGCCTCGCCCGCGTGACCGCAGTAGTGGCGCTGTTGCCAGGCGGCCGTTGCTAAGCGCGCGCTGCGTGCCCTGCGTGGAGCGCGCGGCGGCAGAGGCGGGAAGTGCGAGCGGCGACGCCATGGCGAAAGGTACCAGCGCGCGGGAGGCCGGGGCCGGGGCCGGGGGCTGGGGGGCGGTCAGCGCGGGGGGCGGGGGGGCCCAGTGGGACCGGGGCTGGCGCGCAGTAATGGCTGTCACCGCGGGGGGCGGTGGCGTAGCACAGACCCAGCCTTTGGCCCCTCCCTGGAAGGTCTGGAGGCTCACAGCGGGATGTCCCCCTTCACGGGCGGGGGTCTGACATCTGGGGACGCACCTTCATGCCCATGGGGGTCCTCACACCTTCATGGCTCCCCAGTGTGGCAGCACCCGTTCCTCAACGTCTTTAGACACTTCAAGGTGGGCGAGTGGAAGCGGTCCGCTAAAGAAGGCGATGTGGCTCCTGTCACTGTAAGTGGGCGCCGGGACTTGGCAGCAGCGGTAGAGACCCCTTCTGTCCTCCTGAGAAACCTGTCAGAACCACCCCAGGGTCATGCCGATGGTGCCCTTCTCGGCGTCCCTCGGTGGACAGTGCTGCCTCCTCTTTTTCTCTTTAGGATAAGACTCTGAAATGCACTGTGTATCGCGTCCGGGGTTCTGTCTCTGCTGGCAATTACATCCAGCTCCCCAAAACCAGTACCCAGTCTTTGGGGCTGACTGGCCGGTACCTGTACGTGCTCTTCAGGCCCCTGCCAGCCAAGCACTTCGTCATTCACCTGGATGTGGCCACCGAGGTGCCGAGCTTGGGAGTGGGGGTTGGGGGTGGTGGTGCTGCATTTCTGTAGTCCTTCTTGTCTGTTTATGGTCATGCTGTGCCTTGCAGGACAGCCAGGTCATCCGTGTGTCCTTCTCCAACCTCTTCAAGGAGTTCAAGTCCACGGCCACGTGGCTGCAATTTCCCTTCATCTGTGAGGCTGGGTTATCTGTAAAAGGTGATGTGGAAACGGGACACGAACGGGCTGCGGTAGTCCAGGAGAGGCGGCCTGAGAGCGGAGAGGGAGGTGGGCAGTCCCAGGTGTAAGGACAGGTGGTGCTGGGGGGACGTTGTGGTTGGGGCAGGCCAAGTACAGAGTGCCCTGGGCTGGCTGGTGAGACCGTAGGCACTAATCTTGGCTCGCGTTTTTCAGAGCTGGCCAGTGTTGCCCCCTCTGGTGCCCGTTGGACATGCCTACAGCTTGATTTGCATGACATTCTCCTGGTGTACCTAAACCGGCGCTACAGTCACCTCAAGAGCGTCAAGCTGTGCGCGAGTCTGCTCGTGAAGAGCCTCTACACCAGCGACCTGTGCTTTGATCCCGGTGAGTGCTGTACTTACGTCCTATGCTCATCCTGCAGCCTGCCTGCTCCAGCGCTCTCCCCCAGTCCCTGAGTTCTCAGCAGGAGGGGCTGACATCCCAGCCCGTGATGGAAGCGCCTGTGCTGTGCCATCTTGGAGCCCCCCCAGCTCCTGAGGCACCTGTGGGGGGCAGGGGCTGGTGGTGGCTGGGCTGGTGGCACCTGGTGTTGAGACTCGCCTGGGCTGGAAGAGGGAGCTGGATGGGCTTCCTTCCCTGGACCAGCTCTGCTCTTTGTAGCTGTTACTATGGCTGAGGCCCAGCGGGCAAAGCTACCTGTCACACCTGTACCTCGAGAAATGGCATTCCCAGTGCCAAAGGGGGAGAGCTGGTATGACCACTATGTCCACATCCGGTGAGCGGCTCTGCCCATCCTGCGGGAGGTCAGTGAAGGGAGGTCGGGGTGGTCCCTGGACACTAAGTTTCTCTCTGCCCTGTTGAGGTTTCCAAGCGACAGCTCAAAAGCATCTCCTGAGCCGGTTCGGAAGAGCTGTTCCCCTCCTGAGGCAGGTGGGCCTGTGGAGTCACCAGAGATGTAGGCTCAGGCCTACAGGGATGTGGAGTTTCACGGGAGGGGGTGTTGATACTGTATGGGGGTGGCAAACCTGGCAGGGAGGTGCCCACAGGGGCCAGGGCTAGCCTCAAGGCTGTCCTGAGATGCCAGGATCACGTGGGAAGTTGTGTAGGGTGCCTGGTGTCCTCAAACTTTCCAACTAGGAGGGCATGCTGGGGCCCGGGGCAGAAGGGTGGGTTGAGCTGTTGCTGTGGCTTTGGAGGAGTGGGCAAGGCACTGAGACCATGCTCTCTGCAGGCCTCTCTGCACTCTGTTCAGTGACTTCTATGGCCTTTGACTCCATTCCAGATTTCCTGGGGCGCATGCTGCAGGTTCTCCCTCACCCAGTGGCTTTCAGCAATCCCTTCCAAGACACTCTGCCCTCCATGGTCCAGATGTTTGGCCCCACAGCCGTGAGTGCTTCTCTGTCCTTAGAGATGGGGCTGGAGAGTGGTGGCCTCAGGGTCCTGACAGGCACTTGTGCCCCTGCAGTCTTGCCAGGCCCCCTCAGTGCCAGAGCCCCTTCCAGAGGTCAGCTTGTTCTGTGAGCGCTCGGAGGTCCCCAGTACGAATGGCCCCAGTGACCGTAGCCAAGAGCGCTCAGCCGGGCCAGAGGTCACTGACAAGCATGCGGCTGGCAACGGTGTTCACGTGTCTGCTCCTAAGCCGACCATGGTGCCCGTGGCGCTGGAGGATGTGGCCGTGCACGAGGTCAGTGCCTACCCCCAGGAATGTGGGGGGTAAACCATTTCACTGAGGTGGGTGGAGCCTTGGTGAGGTGTGGGTAAGGGCTGCTGGGTCTCTGAAACCTTTTGTCATCTAGCTTTCTGACAGAAAGCAGAATGGGCAGGAGATGGCTCTGGACAAGAATCTCTTCCAACCAAGGGTAAGGAGGCACCAGGTGATCTGTGGAGGCCTTGGACTGCAGGCAGGGGCAGGAGCTGGGGTCCCCAAAGGGTCTGGCACTGTGGCCAGCTCCTGGCTTCCTGACACAGGGCAGCCGGCAGAAACCACCTAGGACTGCATTGCTTTCTTGGGAGGGAGAAACTAGCCTGGGCTGGTGCAGTCCCAGGGGGATGGGAGCCTCACCTCCTGGGGTCTCACTGTGAGTTTGCCTGTTTCAGACCTTTCTCCCGGATCCAATCCTGAGGCTCAAGGGAGTCATTGGCTTTGGGGGCCACAGTACCAAATGGGTGAGGGATCCAGTATTCTTACTGGGCCGTGTGGGTGTCAGTTACGCAGAGGGGGCAATGGGAAAAGCCCGTGTCTCCCTAAGGTGGCTATGTAGACATCTAAGCTTCCTCAGGGTGTGGAACCCTCACCCCCCTGCCCCCACACCGTGGATGCCTGGTTCTGCCTGTGTCTGCACATGACTCAGCATTCATTCAGCAGAAGCGTGGACTTCCCAACCCGGCGTCCCTTTTTTCTGCCGCATGTGCAGGCCACGTTAGCATGGCCCGGGTGCTTGAGCTTCCCTAGACCTGAGAGCTCTCACGTGTTCCATGAGGCTTTGATGCTTGTCTGGTGTGTGGGGCTGGTGTGGGCGCTAGTTTTGGGTCTGTGGCCCTGTGCTTGCCAGGTCCTTCTAGACACGGACTGAGTGTCTGTAGGTCCTGGTGTTTTGTTACTTGAACTCAGTTTCTAGTATTGCAGACAGGGTTTGGAGGAGGTCTTGCGCGTGCATCTGTGTGTGTGTGCGCGCGTGCTCCTGACATGGCGGGGGATGTGCTGGGGTTGGGGAGAGCGGAGGCCAAGCAGCCTGTGACGTCCACATCTGGCCCCTGTGCACAGGCCCTGTGGACTAAGGACGGGGCTGCTGTGGTGTATCCCTGCCACGCGGTCATCGTCGTCCTGCACATTGACACCCGCGAGCAGCGCTTCTTTCTCGGCCACACGGACAAGGTGGGCGCCACCCGCCCGACCCAGGGGAGGCTTGTGCCTGTGGGCGCAGTGCTGTCTCCTCAACCTACCACGTCCTCCAGGTTTCTGCCCTGGCGCTGGATGGGAGCAGCTTGCTGCTGGCCTCGGCCCAGGCCCGGCCCTCAAGCATGCTGCGCCTCTGGGACTTCCACACCGGGGAGTGCCTGTCCCTGTTCCGGAGCCCGGTCCATGTCCTCTGTTCCCTTAGGTAGGCATGGGACCTCTGAGAGGGTTGGGGGCCCAGCCCCCGCCACGCTGACTGCTTTCTTTCCATCCGCAGCTTTTCCAACAGTGGGGCGCTGCTCTGTGGTGTCGGCAAGGACCGCCACGGGAGGACGGTACCGGGGCCGGGTCAGGGAGGTAGAGTGGCCCGTGCCGGGGTGCAGGCAGAGTCCTAAACACTTAGGAAGCAGAGCTCCCCTGGCAAGCCCCCTGCCCTGTGCACCGCCTCGTGTTGTCAGGCCCATGGACAGAGTTGCTGTCCTGCTGGCTGTGTTTGGCGTGTCAGCCATCCTGAAGTCAGGTGCATTTGAAGCGTTGGCGTGTTTCAGCCCAGGCCCTGCTTGCGGGTCGGTGTTTTCTCTGTTCCCACAGACGGGCCTAGCTTCGAGTGTGGAAGCCCAGGGGTACACCTATAGCTTCTTCTGGGCCATGAGGCCAACATCCCCACCCCCTCAGCCACTGAGCGCTCAGGCGGGCTTGCGTAGGGAAGGAGAGCTGAGGCCTGGGGGAGGCCAGGTAGGGTCGGTGGTGGGCCGCAGGTGCTCAGTACAGGCTTATTGCAGATGGTGGTGGCCTGGGGCACGGCCCAGGTGGGACGAGGCGGTGCGGCAGCGCTTCTTGCAAAGGTGCACACCAGGGTTGACATCCAGGCATTTGAGGTGGCCCTTTTTGACGAAACCAGGTGATGGTGCTGTCCTTGCACTGTGGAATGAGGCCTTGGCAGCCACAGGCCCTGATGGGGGCTGAGCCTGCCGCTCCCTGGCTTGGGGGCCACCACAGTATCGCGCTTCTGCCCTGCAGGATGGCGTCGTGCGGGCAGGGCAGCGTGCAGCTGTGGCGGCTGCGAGGGGGCCAGCTGCGCTCCTGCCCTGTGGACTTGGGGGAGCACCGCGTGCTGGAGTTGACCGACCTGGCCTTCGGCCGGGCCCAGGATGGCCATATGCTGTGAGCTCTACCCTCACCCCCGTAACTGGCTGGGTCCTGTTCCCACCTGCCCCTTCGGCCCTCACCTGTCGCCTCCCTGAGCAGCTACGTGTGCGGCCGCAGTGGCCACATCTTGGAGATCGACCACCAGCGCATGGCTGTGCGGCACGCTCGCCGCCTCCTGCCCTCGCGGAGCCCTGGTGGCCCTCTCTCACAGAAGCAGACCTTTAGCTCGGGTAGGTGGGTCCCTTGCTGCATGGGGGGGCGGGGGAGCCACCCTGATGCTGTGGGCTTACTCTGCCCCACTCCCTAGGCCCCGGCATTTGCATCAGCAGCCTCAGCGTGTCCCAGACCCTATGTGCCATGGGCTCCGAGGATGGCTACCTGCGCCTCTGGCCCCTGGACTTCTCCTCTGTGCTTCTGGAGGCAGGTGGGACCATGAAACCGTCTTGGCATCAGAGTTGCCCTGGGAGGGTCGTGTTCCTGGGTCATACCCTGGGTAGACGTCAGTCCCAGGGCTCCAGGGGGTCGAGTCCTGAGCCAGGGAGTGGGTGGTCATCGGGGAGCTGCCTGTCCTACCCCACGGAGAGCAAGGAAATGGGTTTGTCTGTGTTATGGAGGGGGCCGGGGAGGTCACCGAGCCACCCTGTCCACAGAGCACGAGGGCCCAGTCACTTCAGTGTGCATCAGCCCTGATGGTCAACGTGTGCTGTCTACCACATCCTCCGGCCACCTGGGCTTCCTGGATATCCCATCCCAGGAGTACAGCATGCTGGTTCGCTCCCACACCGCTCCGGTGCTGGCCCTGGCCACCGAGGGCAGCCGAGGGCAGCTGGCCACGGTGTCCCAGGACCACACTGTCCGCGTCTGGGACCTGGCGACCTTGCAGCAGGTGGGGTGCAGCCAGAAGGGAGCCATCGCAGAGGGAGGGACTGAGGGCCAGTGGGTGGGGCCCAGGCAGGCGTGAAGCACTGGCGGGTCCGTGGGGCCACCTGGAGAGATGGGCTCTCAGGCTCTTGAGGCCAGCTGGTAGCCCCATCCCTGCCCACCCTCATGGACCCCACCCTCCAGCTTTATGACTTGAGGTCCCCTGAGGAGGCCCCGTGTACCATCGCCTTCCACCCCATGCGGCCAGCCTTATTCTGCGGCTTCAGCAGTGGGGCCGTCCGTTCCTTCAGCCTGGAGGCTGCTGAGGTTCTGGTGGAGCACAGGTGGGTGCCCAGTTGGCTCCAGCCCCACAGACACCCGTGGCGGAAGCTGAGGTGGTACGTGGGCAGCTGGGCCGGGCAGGAAAGGGCCATCCACAGAAAGCCCCAATGCCCTGCTGCCCCCTGGGGACACAGGCAGGACCAGCTGTGAGCGGTCTGGGATGGTGCAGCTCAGGGCCAGGGCAGTGGCTGTCCCTGTGTGGTGCAGGTGTCACCGAGGACCAGTCACCGGCCTGGCCGCCAGCCCCGACGGCAGCCTCCTGTTCAGCTCTTGCTCCTGGGGCACCTTGGCCCAGTACCACTGCGCCAGCACCCCTTGCCGCGTCCTGCGTGTGGCAGGTCAGGCCCCCATGCTGCCCCGTCCAGCCTCCTGACCATGTCCTTGTCCGCTCCCTGTGGGGTGGGGCTTGTTCACTACCTACAGCTCCCGGGTGAGTGTGGTTTTAGAACTTCTTAGGCCCCCCAAAATGAAAGGTCAGTGAGGGTCTGTGCCAACCCTGCCCCAGGAGGAGGTGAATGGCCTGAGCACTAGGTGGGGGTTGGGTCACCCGAGGGCATGTGTTTCCTCTTGTGGCCACTTGGTAGTAACTTGGGCCAGCCAGGCGGTCACTTGGCAGCCGGTCGTGGTCCAGGAGAACCCCAGCTGTCCCAGCCGTAGCTCGTGCCCACTGCTGTCTGTTTGCCACAGCTGGGGGCAGGTTTGGGTCTCCACCCAGTTGACCCTGTGCCTCCGTGCTGCCGGCAGCTAACGTGGTGTGCCGGGACGCCCACCCAACCCCCAATGCCTTGGTGGTTAGCGGGGATAGCCGTCTGCTGGCCTTCGTGGGTCCCTCCAGGCATGTGGTGACTGTCATGAACGCGGCCTCCCTAGAAGAGGTGAGTCAGCTGGAATCTTCTGTGTGTCCATGTTGGCCTGGCTGGCAGACTCCATGCATATATCCCCAGCGGCGGCCACATGGCTATCCCGGGTTCCACCAGGGCGGAGGGAGCAGGGAGGGGCAGGGGCTCTCCTTGGCCCTGTGTGGAGTGGGAGGGGGCAGGTGGGAGGTCAGGCTCACCCCCGAGAGGATCTGATCCTTGCTGCCTCAACTCATAGACACAGAACGCGTAAGCCACAGGCAGGCAGGAGTGCGGTGGGTGGGTGCCTGAGGCTGCTCACCTCCCGTGCTCTGGCGCCGGGAGTGCAAGCTCTGCCTGGAGGCCCTGCCCGGTGGCTGCTTGCTGCTCTCCCCCAGCTGCTGCAAATTGATGTCGGTGCCCTGGACCTGGCCAGTAGCCGCCTGGACTCGGCTGTGGCCGTCTGCTTTGGCCCTGGACCCCCTGGCCACCTCCTGGTGTCCACGTCCTCTAACACAGTCACGGTGCTGGATACCACGTCGGGCCGCGTGGTCCGGGAGGTGAGCCCAGGGCTGTGGTCGGCAGCTTGACCTCCTCTTCCCTCCGGGCTCCAGCGTTAGTGCCTCCAGTGCCTCGAGGAGGGGGAGGCCCGGGCTGCCTGCTGCTCCTTGGAAGTGGCATTTCTCGAGAAGGGCGACTTCCTGTGTCCGGGGCTCTGTGATTTCTGCTCTTTCCTCACCGACCGACAAGAAGGCTTCTTGCAGCTGCCAGGTGTCCACCCTGTGGCCTGCCCCTCCCTGGCTCTCAGCCGGGATGCCCGCTTCTTGCTGATGGCCACTGACCGGGCCATCAAGGTGTGGGACTACCCAACGAAGGCCTGCCCCGGCTGCCAGGTGGGGGCCACAGGCAGGCGCATGGCAGGTGGGTGGCAGGGAGGGTAGAGGATGAGACCCCCAACTCCCCTGTGCCTGCTGGGGCCTGACACCCCTGAAAGCCTCCTCCTCGCGCCCCCGTCTGGTGGGTCGGGGACTCTCAGCTGGGTCTGCAGGATATGTCCGCTGTCTTGCAGCGTGAAGCGCTGCTTCTGCCCAGTGCTGGGAGGACCGTGGTGCCCTAGCTGTGCCTCGACGGTCTCTCTCTGACTCCCCTTGTCTCCAGGTGTATATTGGCCACTCAGAGCCCGTACACGCTGTGGCCTTCACCCCTGACCAGCAGCAGCTCCTCAGCGTGGGGGATGCCATCTTCCTCTGGGACATTCTGGGTCCCCTGGAGAGGTCTCCCCCAGGAAGGCAAGTGCCTGCCCTAGAGCTGCATCCACTGGCCTTCAGCTACACCCTCCCATCTGATCTCTCGTTGTCTCTGCAGTGCCAGAGATTCACCCGGGGCACCCCCGACCTGCAAGACTAGTGAGTGGCCCCACCGCAGGGGCAGGCTTTGTGATCACCTTTGGTGCTAGCTCTGCAGTCTCGGGGGTGGCATAGCGCCCCTTCCTCTCCTGGGGTTCCTAGTGCAGAACTGGGGGTGTGTGGTACAGGCTGACTCTTTCTGTCCCCAGGCCTGGATGCAAAGCAGCTGGAGGACACGGTGTCTGGGGCCAACGGGCTCCCCCGGCAGCAGGTGCCTGAGCCATCCCCGGCATCCCCACTCCAGCTGGGCATCTGTGCTGGACCCCTCAAGGGTGATGGTGGTAAGGGTGGAGGGCCCAGGAGGGACTGCTGGGTGTGTCTCTGGTCCAGGCCTGGGGGGGGCGGGGGCAACGTTGCTCTGCTCCTTCCTCTCACTGCTCCCTTCTCCCCCTCTCCCCAGGTGCCTTCTCCTTGTCAGATGAAGAAGGACCCTCTGAGGAGAGCCATAGCCCTGAGGGGCTCCATCAGGCCTCAAGCCTGCCCATGCTGGTGAAGGAGGCCAGTGGGGCTGGAGACGGGGTCTGGGGGTCTCCAGGGGCCCCCTGGGGCCTCAGCATGGGTCCCCACCCCCATAATTGGTCCAGTAAGCAGAAGAGGGGCAGCAGGGTGGGGCGGGGATACTCATGACCGACCAAGGTGTTTCATGGGCTCCAGGTGGCCTAAGGGAGGCCCAGCCGCTTGACGGGCTGAGCTGTGAGATGAGCTACAGGGCAAGTAGGCTAGTCTGAGGCCCCGGCTGGGCCTGGCTAGCAGTGGGATGCAACCCATCTGCGCCCTCTGACCCCACATGTCTGCTGTGGTTCAGACACTTGTCCTACCCAGCAGTGCCGGGTGACTGTGTGCAGGGAGGGGTCTCTGAGGGGTCATGGGTGCTTTGATGTTTCGAGGCCTCTTCCTTTTCCCTGTCAGGTGCTCGGAGCATTGGAAGAGCTCAGGTGCATCCCTCTGCTCGCCCTGACTGCTATAGGCACTTCCTGGCACGCCATAAGACCTCCCCGCTGGTCAGGGTCAGTGGGGGTGGAGGATCCCCGCAAGCCTTTCACAAGCAGACACCCGATGGGCCCAGAGGTGGGGGTGGCATGGCCCTGTAGTTTCTAGGAGCGTTCTTTCTCCCTAGGAAACTCGGTTTTCTGGGGTCTCCCTGGGGCGGCTTCCAAAGCTCACAGCTTTGGTGACAGGGCTTTGATGTAGATCTTGGTGACAGTTCCCCTGCAGGGGACTCATCTACCCTGTGCCTGCACTCTGGCTTGGCTGGCCAAGGCTCTCGCTGTCCTGCAGATGCCCAGAGGGTCCCCGGGTGGTGTCCTGATGAGCCCTCCCTTTCAGCCCTGGCTGCTTCCCATTTCCTGCTCTTGCACCTGTGCCCTCCCCAAGATCCTCCCCCGCCCGGGTCTTGCTGCCCTTACTTGGCCTCCCTGCCCTCCAGGTGCCTCCCACACCCCCCACTCGCACTTTTCTGTCTGCACCCTCAGCTCTGCTGGCTTTTTGTGCGGGTTTTGGGGCCTGCGTTCCTGCCGTTTGTCTCCTGGGAGCCTGCATCTCCTGAGGCGTCATCCCAGGCCCCAGCCTGATGGGGGAGAGCCTGAGTTGGGGGGGTGGGCGGGCACTATGCGGGCACCCCAGCGTCCTCTCTCTGTCCTCGCAGAGCGCCTCTGTCTCCGACGCCAGCGTTGAGCGTCTGCTCCTGAAGGCCGTCGTGGGCTACAACGGGAACGGGCGGGCCAATGTGGTCTGGAAGCCAGATACAGGTGGGGGCGCACCCTGCTCTTAGCCCAGAAGCTGCAGGGAGGGGCCCAGCTCTGTCCGCCCCTAGGACAGGCCCCAGGGAGAGCCCGTGAGCACTTGCCATCGTACAGGGTTTGGGTGGCAGGGTGGGAGCAGTGCCCAAGCCAAGACGCGTTCTCCTGGTAGCCTGTGTGTTCTGGCCTTGGAGCGGGCTTTCCAGGTGTGAGCCCCTGTGGCTGTGGAAGCAAACAGGGAAGGATGCACCCCGGGCCCCGGCCGACTGGCTCCGGGGTGCCTTCCCTGCCTATAGGCTTCTTTGCCTACACGTGCGGCTGCCTGGTGGTGGTGGAGGACCTGCATTCTGGCGCCCAGCAGCACTGGCTCGGCCACCCTGGGGAGATCTCCACCCTGGCCCTTAGCCACGATGCTCAGGTGCCCGCCTTGCATCCCGCTCTGTACACCCAGGGCTGACGTGCAGGTCAGAGCCTGGATTCTTGAGAACCACGGCTGGCTCTCACCTCCAGAGCAGGACGGGGGATGCTGCTCCAGCCTTCTGTCCAGCCAGAACCAGGATGGGCCCGTGGGCCACCCCCTCCCTGCTGACTGCCTGCCCTCCTGCCCGCCAGGTCCTGGCCTCTGCCTCGGGCTGCAGCGGCACCGCCTCTCGCTGCCACATCCGCATCTGGAATGTGCCGGGGGGCTCCTGCCGGCACCTCATTTCTTACCACAGTACTGCGGTGCAAGCCCTGGCATTTTCGCCAGATGACAAGCTCCTTGTCACACTGGGTCAGTTGGGGTGTGGGGAGGACAGTGGCCTCTGGACTTCCCTGCCTGTCTTGGGACTCCTGGGCAGCTGATGCAGCTAGCGTGTGCCTTCGCCAGGGGACTATGGGGACCGCACTCTGGCCCTGTGGAGCATGGCCACCCATGAGCTCCTGTCCTCCACCCGCCTCCCCGCGCCAGTGCACGGCGTGGCCTTCAACCCCCGGGATGCTGGCGAGCTGGCCTGCGTGGGCCAAGGTGCCGTTACCCTGTGGCTCCTGCAGCAGCGTGGGACCAGCCTCCGCCTCCAGGTGCCGGGACTCCGAGGGTGTTCTGAAGGACGGGGTGTGGCTGGACCCCAGGATGTTGCTGATGCACGCTGCCCTTGTGTCCCGTCAGGCGCGGCGAGAGCCCATCCCTGAGGAGGTGGGGGCTGGCGAGCTCACCTCGCTCTGCTTCGGGGCCGCACCTCTGCTGTACTGCGGCTCCAACACCGGCCGGGTCTGCGTCTGGGATGCCAGTGCCGGCCGCTGCTTCCTGGCCTGGGACGCGGACGACGGCGAGATTGGTGGGTGCCCTGGCCTCTCCCTGGGGGACCTCGTCTCGAGCTCTGGGCTCTGGGGAAGGGGCTCATGCCGCTCCTGCCTCCCAGGAGTGCTGCTGTGCTCGGGGGCGCGGCTGCTGAGTGGCAGCAACACCAGGCGACTGCGCCTGTGGGCGGTGGGGGCCGTGCCGGAGCTGAGATGCAAGGGCTCGCGCGCCAGGTGAGCTGCCATGCGCGTCGCTGTGCCGGGGCGGGGGGGGGGGGGCGCCAGTGTCCCAGGTCCCCCTGTGGGCTGCAGCCTGAAGACAGGGACACACCCCCGGGACACCAGGCTCCCAGGGCTGCCGCTGCCGCCGCCCTTTCAACCCACTGCCCGCCCCCCCACCCCCACCCCAGGTCCAGCTCTGTGTTGATGGAGCGCGAGCTGACCTTGGACGGGGCTGTTGTGAGTGCGGTCTTCCACGACAGCATGGACATGGGCGTGGTGGGCACCACAGCAGGCACGCTCTGGTACATCAGCTGGGCCGAGGGCACCAGCACCCGCCTCATCAGTGGCCACAGGAGCAAGGTGAGGGCGTTTCCAACCTGGACAGAGGCAGGGCGGTAAGGCCCATGTGTCCTGCTCTGCCCCTCCTTTCCCCGGCCTGTTCCAAGTCTAAGCCCAGCAGTCAGACGGGTTTGTGTGTAGATGGTCCAGGAGGTCCCCGGATAAGGACAGCCTAGAGCTGCGTGCTTACCCCTTGTCCACCCAGGACCCACAGGCATCCCCACCCAGGCCTTTTGGCCTCCTCTGTCCTTTCTCTTACTTTTTTTCTTGTAATTTACTTGTTGAAAAAACGAGCTGCTTTGTCCTGGAACCTCCCACCGGCTGGGTTGGACCTGCCTCTCAGCCCTATGTTCTCTGGGGTTCGAGAGGTCTGGAGGCCGGGCCAGGGTCTGGTCAGGGGCTGCTTGCCTGTTGGCATTGTGCCTGGAGAATTACTCACTATTCGGGTACGACTTGCCAGTGGTGCTAGTCTGATCCTGACCAGGAGAGACGGCCTTGGGAGCTTGCTTTCTCCGAGGTAGAGCTCAGGCAGGAGCTGCAGGGTGGGCGAGTCTCTTCCTCCTGGGCCGGGTCTCCTGAGTGCTGGCTTGATTCCCCAGCCTCCAGCGTTGGTCTACAAGTTTGTGCGGCTCTGTGTGAGCTGCTGGATGGAAATGTGGGTCCAGCCTCCTCGTGGTCACTGTTTTTCTTGATGCTGATCAAGCCCCATCTTTAACCAGTGGCAGGTTCTTCGAGTTGGCTCCCGAGTCCTTTTCCTTTTTTTTTAGTCTCAGTTCATTTGTTCAGATGTAATGGTTGCCATCAAGGAAATTTGAGTTTGTGGTGGGCGAGTATCGTGAGCTTCTTGTGTATTTCTGATGATGGCTCTGTGTTAAGGTACAAGGTATATGTTGTCTTATCAGCTTGAAGTCTGTGGTGTTGATATATTCACAGAATTGCACAACCGTCACCTCAATCACATTTCAGGGCATTTTGCCTCTCCAAAAGGAAGCCCCGTACCCTTTAAACACCCCCCCTCCTCCCCGATTCCCCTGCCCATCCCCTGGGACTCACTGACTAACTCTGATTCTGTGGACTCACCTGTTCTGGGCATCCCTGGCTGTGGGCCTCCTCTCTCTGAGCACGAAGCCTCCCGGGTTTGTCTGTTGTGTAGCGCGGGTCAGTACCAGATAGTGTTCCGTGTTTCCTCATCCACCCGCACCCACACACTTGAGGCCTGAGTCCTTGACTGGAGCTGATGGGCATTGGTGATTTCCCTCTCGTGTGGAAGGACAAGGTGTTCCAGGCTCCCCCTCTGTAGCTCTGCCCAGAACCAGACTCGGCTGTTCCTTCTCAGAGTCTGGGGGCCCCTCCTGTGGGAAATGGACATAGGGGCCCGAGTGCCAGAGGGGCCAGTCACTGCTCAGCCAAACAGCTGAATTACTATTTTTTTTAAGTGAGATGTATTATGAGTTTGCACTTACCCTTGAAATTCACGTTCTAGGCTAAACTATTCTGTGTTCCCTTGTGGGCATGTGGCCTCTGTATCCTTTTTCCTGCGCTCTGCTGCCTGGGCTGTCTTCCTTTACTTTTTGTGTGTGGCCCTCTGGGGACATGTCGTCACACATCGTCACGTCACCACTTATTAGGGCCTGCCAGGATGGTTCCTTCTGTGCTGTCTTAGCAAGTGAGCCATCAGGTTCGATTGACCGGGGGGCTTCCTGTAACTCTGTCCCACCCAGGTCTCATGTGGGGACACTTGGGAGGGAGGCCAGGATGGTTTCTTTATGCCACATGGAGGTGGATGGGGCCAGGCAGGCTTGTGCGGAGATGGATGCTCTCGTCAGAAAGACCCACCGGGGGCGCCCGGCTGGCTCATTCGGCAGAGCGTACGACTCTTGATCTTGGGGTCGTGAGTTTGAGCCCCATGTCGGGGGCAAAGATTATGTAAAAAAAATAGAATCTTTTGGGGCGCCTGGGTGACTCACTCGGTTAAGTGGCTGACTTCGGCCTGGGTCATGATCCTGGGGTCCTGGGATTGAGCTCCTTTTTGGGCTCCCTGCTCAGCGGGGAGTCTGCTTCTCCTTTGCCCTCTGCCTCTCCCTCTGCTTGTGCTGTTTCTGTCTCTCTCAAATAAATAAAGTCTTTGGGAAAAAAAAAAAAGAATCTTTAAAAGACAGAACAGACCTGGCCCTGTTGTGTCTCCCCTGTGCTCGAGGGCCAGGCAGCCTCAGTGGGCGCTGGCTGGCTCCTTGCAGGTGAACGAGGTGGTGTTCAGCCCCAGCGCATCCCACTGGGCCACGTGCAGTGATGACGGGAGTGTGAGAGTGTGGTCCCTGGCCAGTATGGAGCTCCTGATCCAGTTCCAAGTGCTTAACCAGGTACTAGGGGGCACCAGGGCTGAGCCCAGACCACCTCCCAGCCCTGCCTGGCCTCTGTGTCCTCCCTCAGTGTCCATTCCAGCCCTGGGGCTGGGCCCATGTTCCCCATCCCCAGGGGAGTGCCTGTGTCTCCCTCCTGTGGGTCCCCAGAGCTGCCTCTGTCTGGCTTGGAGCCCCCCCTCCTGCGGATCCCCAGAGCAGCAGCAGGTGGTGGCCGGCTACAGTGACGGCACGCTGCGTGTCTTCAGCATCGCCCGAATTGCAATGCAGCTCAAGATGCACCCCCACCAGGCTGCGCTGACGGCTGTGGCCTACTCTGCTGATGGTGAGGAGTGGGGGCCCGCGGGGCGACCGTGTAGTCACCTGTCTGGGCTGGGGGCCAGGGGCTCGCAGGGTGATGCTGTGGCCCTGGCTGGCCCAGGTCAGATCATCCTCTCCGGAGACAAGGATGGGCTTGTGGCTGTGAGCCGCCCCCGCACGGGGATGACCTTCCGTGTACTGAGTGATCACCGGGGTGCTCTCATCTCCACCATCCAGAGCACGAACAAAGAGGTGAAGTAGCTTCATGAGCTGGCAGGGCCTGGCCTGGGGAAGCTGGCAGGGGAGGGAGATTGGGTAGGGCAGGGCGGAAGGCACCCACCGGCCTTTACCCACCCCCAGTATGGAGACTTCGGGGCACAGGGTGCCGACCTGTGGCTAGCTGCCAGCTCAGACCAGCGCATCAGCATCTGGGCTGCCGACTGGCCTCGGGGCCACTGTGAGCTTGTGGACTGGCTGAGCTCCCCATCGCCCACCCTCACAGAGGTAAGAGTCCCGGGGGCACCAGGGGTGGGGACGGTGCCTGCCCAACTGACCACAGCATGCTTTGCCCCTCCACAGGTTGCCAGCCATCCCCTGCCCTGTCTTGTTGCCTTCTGCCCGTGGGATGGGGCACTGCTGGTGTGTGCGGGCCTTGGCGTGCATCCAGAGGTGGCCTTCTACAACCTTCACCAGAAGCAGGCATGTGTACCCCCCACCCCCGTGTGGTGCCAGGAGCCCGAGGGACCCAGGGCTGGGGAAGGGAGGCTCACACTCACTGTCCACAGATGGTGGAGAGGATCCCACTGCCGTTCTATGCCGTGTCGCTGAGCCTGTCCCCCGGAGCCCACCTCGTGGCCATTGGCTTTGCTGGTGAGTCCTGGTGGAATGGGACTCCAGCCCGTCTTGAGTGGAGTCGAGGGGATTCACCCATACCCCCACCTGAGACATACCTCTCATCTCAGTGCCCCAAGTTCCTCATCCCTGAAGTGGGGTAAGGGCACATGCCCCAGGGGAGTTGTAGGGTCAGGAGATGAGGGGCGTGGGGTGCTGATTGCAGCACCCAGCTCCAGGGCCTCAACAGAGGGACTCAGTGGCCTAGCTTAGGGCCTAGCAAGCCCCATGTGGTGGGGCAGTGGGTGCTGATGGGCCCTCCTGTTAGCTTTGCTGCCCCTGGTCCCAGCTGTAGCGGGCCCTGGGATGTGGAGGACACAGGGCTTTGAGCACACATTCCTCCAGAGGCCCCGGCACCAGCACAGGTTGGAGGACCCTGGGCCCCGGAGCTCCACAGACACGGGTATGACGGGCATACACTTCGCCTGCCCAGGCCCAGCCCCATGCCATCTGCCCACAGAGCATGTGCTGAGGCTGGTGGACTGTGAGTCTGGGGCCGTGCGGGACTTCGCCGGCCATGATGACGTGGTGCAGCTCTGCAGGTTTGCCCCATCTGCCCGGCTGCTCTTCTCAGTGACCCACAGTGACATCCTGGTGTGGGAAGTCACAGGCCACTGGGCCTCCGGGGGGGCCTCGAGCTCAGGGCCCCCGCTTGGCTGAGAAGCTGGGTCTCGCCACACCAGACGGGCCTGAGACTGCCAATCATCAAGACCTGAACTTAAGGAAAGTGCTTGTGGGCTCTTTACCTGCGGGCTTGTTTCGAGGTTTCTACCTTGTAGAGTTCAAATAAACGTGCGTGTTGCATTCTGGCATCGTCATCTGGTCACTCCGGGCGCCTGCTGTCCTGGCCTGAGCGCAGCCTCCGCCAAATCCCCAGCCCGCCCACTCCCTGCGAAGGTCCCTGCTCGGCCCCGGGGCGGGGCAGGGTCTGCGATGCCCAGTGTGCCCGCGCGGTGGCGCCGCCGCACAGCCGGGACGCTCTGGCCCGCCCGGCTCGTTAGTGTGGCTCGGCGAGCGGGGGCCGGAAGTGCGGGGAGGGGGGGCCAGAAGTGCGGGCGAGTGGGAGAGCGCTGGTCGGGGCCGGGGTCGGGGACGGGGCCGGGGTCGGGGTCGGGGACGGGGCCGGGGTCGGGGCCGGGGGTGGGCCGGGGCCGGGATACGCGTAGCCGCCATGAAGCGGGACGTGCGCATCTTGCTCCTGGGCGAGGGTAGGCGACGGGCTGGGGAGCCGGGTGGGGGTCTTGGGGCCGCCGGGTCGGGGCCAGGGTCGGGCTGGAGTGGGGAGGGGGCGCGGCGATCGTGGCCATGCGCTGACCGCGCCGCCCCGCGCAGCCCAGGTGGGAAAGACGTCGCTGATCCTGTCGCTCGTGGGCGAGGAGTTCCCCGAGGAGGTAAGAGGCGAGCGTGGCCGCAGCCCTCGGTGCCCGTCCCCGGGCCTCCGGCCGCCCTCACGCCGCGGCCCCTGCAGGTCCCTCCCCGCGCTGAGGAGATCACCATTCCCGCAGACGTCACCCCGGAGAAGGTGCCCACCCACATCGTGGACTACTCAGGTAGAGCGGGCCGCCCGCGCTTCGCCCTGGGGGATGGGGGCAGGCATTCGGGAAGGTTCCACAGTCAGGGTCTCTTCTTCTGCAGAAGCCGAGCAGACCGCCGAGGAGCTCCAGGACGAGATTCAGAAGGTACACTGTGTCCTGAGGGCTGAGCCCCCGGCTGCCGCCTCCCAGGGATTAGGTTAAGGTGCTCAGGGTGCCTGAGACCTTGCTAATTCCTGCCATGATCTTTCAGCGCTGCTATTTGTCAGGTTCCTTGGGCTCACCCTGCAGGGACCTGGGGAGGAGAGGGACCGTGCTTCCCACACGGCCAGTCAGCTCCATGGCTCTGTGCACCCGTTGTTTGCCCTTCCAAAGTGATCCTTACCCAGCTCTGTGCCTTGGCTACCTGTACTGCTATCCCGTAGTCTAGTGCAGTAGTGCTCTGAGCTGGACTGTAGCGGGTGCCCTGCTTATCGGTTGTCAGGAAGATCTGCGCCTGAACCGAGCTCCCCGGGGGAGCCTTTGCTGTGTCCTGGGGCATCGCTGGGCCAGGGTAAAGGCCACAGCTACCCAGCCTTCTTGTCACCATCATCCCTTGTGGTGTTGTCCCTGTCACTCACTCTGCCTGAAATGACACGGGAACGCAGGGCTGGGGCCAGGGTGTCAAGTTCTAGGGGTGGTGCTGTTTGTCCTGAGCCTTCCAGGGGACCCGCCAGAGCTGCCATGCTCAGGCCTGGCGGCTCCAGTGGAAGAAGACAGGGGAGGACTTGTCAGGTTGAAGCAGCCGATGGTGGCTGCGGTACATTGGCTGGAGGGGTGCTAAAGAGGGGTGGGGTTCTAAGGTGTCTGGCCCTATCAAGGCCAGCGTGGAGCAGGAAGCCTGTGGTCATGCCATGCCTCACCCCCTTTCCCACAGGCAAACGTGGTGTGTATGGTGTACGACGTGTCTGAGGAGGCCACCATTGAGAAGGTGAGGGCAAGAGCTCCTTCTGTACCCCAGGTCCTTGTTGCTGGCACCTAGCTCCGTGTTGTTCTCTGAACAGACTCCAGATGGTCACCCAGCTGACCGAGGCTCTGGGTACTGGGGGCTTGTATGCAGGACCCCCACAGCTTCCCCAGGGAGCTCCTGTGGCCCTGCTTCCCCACAAAGTACATGGGTGGTTAGAAGTCTGAACTATTCAGGCCTGTGGAAGGGGCTGTTTTAGGCTGCTGAGTCCGGGCCCCTTGGGGGTGTTTGGGAACTGCTAGGATCAGATGAGGCCCCACCTGCTGACTGTTCTCTGCAGGTGGCCACAATTCTCAGTGTCCAGGACTTTGTTCCTCAGTGGGCCTTGACCTCCCTACGTCCAGGCAGGAGTTCCAGGAGGGAGCCGTGAAGACAGGCAGGCCCCTGTCCTCACGGCTAGCCCTTGCTTTTCAGATACGAACCAAGTGGATCCCACTGGTGAATGGGGAGACTGAGAGGAGCCTCAGGTAATGGGCAGGGCCCGGGGGGTGGGCCCCGCCAGCTCCCCATCCATGGTGACCATAGGCCTTTCCCCCAGAGTCCCCATCATCCTGGTGGGCAACAAGTCGGACCTGCGGCCGGGGAGCTCGATGGAGGCTGTGCTGCCCATCATGAGCCAGTTCCCTGAGATCGAGACGTGTGTGGAGGTGCGTGGGCGGGTGCCCGTGTGCCGCTGGCCTCAGCTGCGGGCCTGCGGACCTCCCCAGGTCTGGAAGACACCCCATGCCTGCCTTTTGTGGGGGGCCCCTTTGAGTTTTGTGGTACTGGTCACGTGTCTGAGTCTGTCCATGTGGTCACCAGTGCTCTGCCAAGAACCTGAGGAACATCTCGGAGTTGTTCTACTACGCGCAGAAGGCAGTGCTGCACCCCATGGCCCCGCTCTACGACCCCGACGCCAAGCAGGTGAGCGGCAGGCACCGGGGAGGTGGCCAGGCTGGCGGGAGCGGTGGCGTGGGGTTCGTACTGAGCTGGCTGTCCCTGCAGCTGAGGCCCGCGTGTGCCCAGGCCCTCACGCGCATCTTCAGGCTCTCAGACCAGGATCTAGACCAGGCGCTCAGTGACGAGGAGCTCAACGCTTTCCAGGTGCGGCTCCCTCTGCTGACGCTGCCCGTCCTTCGAGGGCACAGCCTCAGGTACTCTTAGTGATGCTGAGCAGTCACTGAGGAGGCTGGCTGGCTGGCTGATGGCGACTTTCCCTCGGGGGCAGAAATCCTGCTTTGGGCACCCACTGGCCCCTCAGGCCCTGGAGGATGTGAAGATGGTGGTGTGCAAGAACGTGGCAGGAGGTGTGCAGGATGATAGGCTGACCCTGGACGGTGAGTCCTGATGCCTTGCCGTGCCCTGGGAGTGGGAAGAGGTCCAGGCTGTGCTCGGTGCTACCTGTTCTTTTGTTTCTTTCGGAACAGGCTTTCTTTTCTTAAACACACTGTTTATCCAACGGGGGCGCCACGAGACTACGTGGACCATCTTGCGACGCTTCGGCTACGGAGACACGCTGGAGCTGACCCCTGACTACCTTGTCCCACCGTGAGTGGTGGGTGGGGCTTAGCCTCCCTTCTCAGTGTCAGGCGGGTGCCTGGGGGCTCTTGGACCCGCAGTGGGGGCCCTTGGGGTTGGGCCTCGACGGCCTTTCTAGGAGCGGCCTCGCTGTGGGTGGTCAGGATAGGATGAAGCAGATGGTCCCCTGCCCCAAATGCCTTCCTGTCTGCCCTCCTGCCGTGGTGCTCGGCTGAGGGGGCAGTGCAGGAGCCTCCCTGTGCCGAGACAGAGACACGGGAGGTGTGGGGGGCCTGGCGGGCAAGGGGCTCCCCTGGGAACCGGACAGCCCCTACATCCCCTACAGGCTCCACGTGCCCCCAGGCTGCAGCACCGAGCTCAACCACTTTGGCTACCAATTTGTGCAGAGAGTGTTTGAGAAGCATGACCAGGTAAGGTAGTCATGACCTCCACCCTGCACCGCCCCCGATCCCGCCAGCTTCCAGGTACGTGTCACCGCGGCCCCTCTGCCCCCAGGACCGTGATGGCTGCCTCTCACCTGCAGAGCTGGAGAGCTTCTTCAGCGTGTTCCCCACTGCTCCCTGGGGCCCTCAGCTGCCTCTGGAGGTCTGCACCGAGGCTGGCCGGCTGTCTCTGCATGGGTACCTCTGCCAGTGGACGTGAGTTCAGCCCCTGCCCGTGGCAACACTGCCTGTGCCGGCCGCCCGGCCGTGACCCCATCCCTCCCGCCCCCAGCCTGGTGACCTACTTGGACATCCGGCGCTGTCTTGAGCACCTTGGTTACTTGGGCTACCCGACCCTCTGCGAGCAGGACTCCCAAGCCCATGCCATCACAGGTGGGTGCCCGCCCCCACCCTGAGCCCAGCTCCTCCCTGGCAGCCCCCTTGGTCACACTCACTCCGGCTGTCCATCCCCAGTCACTCGTGAGAAGAGGCTGGACCAGGAGAAGGGGCAGACGCAGAGGAACGTTTTCCTGTGCAAGGTGGTGGGAGCCTGTGGAGTGGGCAAGTCTGCCTTCCTGCAGGCCTTTCTCGGCCGCAGCCTGGGGGTGAGCATCTGCACGGGGGCGGGGGGCGCCTCTGGGCAGTGTCTGGGCCAGCAAGCTTCAGGCGCCTCCCTTCTCCGCACCAGGATACCAGGGAGTTCGCTGAGGAGCGTGCCGTTTATGCCGTCAACACGGTGCAGGTCAACGGGCAGGAGAAGTACCTGATAGTGAGTGCTGGGGTCCCCAGGAAAGACACTGGGTCTGCGCTGGGGGGCCTGTCTCAACGTGGCCTACAGGGCTGCCCTGCACCCCTCCCTGAGGCCACTCTTTGTCTAGCTGTGCGAGGCGAGTGCAGACAGCCTGCTGGCCACGGAGCCCAATGCCACCTGTGATGTGGCCTGCTTGATGTTCGATGGCAGTGACCCCGGGTCCTTCGTGCTCTGCGCTGAGGTCTACAAGGCAAGGCACCCCGCGCCCCATCCCCGGTCCCTCTGGGGCAGTCCGTGTGCCTTGGCCGCCTGGGATGGCACCTTTATGCAGCCCCTCTCTCTGCAGCGCCACTACATGGATGGGCAGACCCCCTGCCTCTTTGTCTCCTCCAAGGCAGACCTGCCCGAAGGCATCTTGCCGCCTGGGCTGTCGCCCACGGAGTTCTGCCGCAGACACCGGCTGCCTGCCCCTGCCCCCTTCTCGTGTGTCGGCCAGACCAGACTCAGCACTGCTGTGTTCTCCCGGCTCGCCGCCATGGCCGCTTGCCCGTGGGTACCTGCACCCAGCCCTGCGGTGGGAGGCCAGGCCCTGTCCAGGGAAGCAGTCATCCCTGTTGACCAGAGAGCAGGGCAGCTGTAGCGTGGGCCCGAGTCCCGCTGGTGGCCCCGTGTGGGCAGAGCGCAGCCCCAGGAGGCGGGGTGGGGGCTCGGGCAGCGGCATCTGCCCCCAGCCAGCCTCTCTGTCCTGCAGACACCTGGCCCCCGGCGAGCTGCCCACCACCTCCTTCTGGCTGCGGGTGATGCTGGGGGCTGTTGGAGCTGCCGTCACTGCCATCCTCAGCCTCTCACTCTTCCGGGCCTTGCTGAAGAGCCGATGAGGCCTCAGGGGCCCCCGGGGTGCTGGTGTGGGGGCCACCTGCTCGAGGGGCCTGTCTTCTGTCTGGGGACACCTGGCCCGCCTCCCTGCCTGAGCCCCAAGGGCTGGCCTCCAGGTCCTGGTAGCCTGTGTCCCTACCCAGCTGCAGATGCCGAGCATCACCTGCGTTGGGTGTCATGTGTCGGAGGGAATGGGTGTCATGGGCGAGGAAGCCAGTGACCCCAGACCCAAGTATTCTCAGGGCTCCACTCCTTTCTGGTCCCAGGCAGTCAGTGGTCATGAAGGGGGTCAAAGGTGGGGGTGGGGGAAGGACGTGGTTGATATGGTCTCCCTCTTCTCCCTGGTTTGGAGATGGGCCCAGCGCCTCACCCCTCCCGGAAGACATGAGGTGGGGTCTCCTGATTAAACTTCACTTCTGTCTTTTGCACCTGGGATCCTGCTTTTTGAAGAGATGTTTCTTGAATCCACTAAAACACATCCTTTGTCTCAGCATGGGCTGGAAACCTCAGTCCTGAGCCCCACACCTCCCCTCCAGGCCTGGGTCCCCATTCTGCGGTCTCCCTCGGGGCCCAGCTGCTCTCTGGGAGCCACTGCATCCATCCAGGTCTGTGCTGGCCTGAGGGGTTCTGATACGCAAGACCCTTTTGATGGCTGCCCCGCCCCCCAGAGCTCAGCATCACAGTAGCCTGGCTGAGATGTGCTGAGGGTCTGGGACTTGGGGGCGGGACTGGGGTGTGCACAGATGCCCTGCTTCTGCGCGGGGTTGGCCTGGCCTGAGAAATCTGCTGTGTTTCCTCACACCCTGACCAGAGGCCTTGGCCCCTGGCACTGGGTGGGGACAGCCAGAGAGCCCCAGCCTGCAGGGTGGGGGAGCGAGAACCTTTCTTGGACTGAGGAGGGTGCCCAGCGTGGAGCCCGGGCGTCTACTCGGTGTGTGTTCTGGGGCCTGGAGCGGAGAGCCTGCGGTGTGGCTGGGCGCTCCCTGTCTGCCATCAGCCCTTCTCTGTGAGGCAGCCTTCCCCAAGCTCTGAGGGGCTATTTGTAGGTTGGGGGAGCTCCCTGCTCCACAGGGATGCTCCAGCCTGACACACAAGTTCTGGGGTTGACCCTGAAGTTGTCCTTGCACCAGCCTCCCAGCCCTGCTGGCCCCGGTCCCGTGGGTGTGCTGCTCACCCGCTTTAGGGTGGCGCTGGATGCTCTTTTAGCCAGTGGTTCTGCCTGAGGCCCCGCTGCCCCAGTGTTGACTGTGGCATCAGGATTTTGAGTGGCCCTTGAGGGGTTTGCTGTTACAACACATCACCATGGTCTGTCATCTCCATCCCTGGAGGGGTCTGCTTGCCCTCCCCAGGAAGCAGGGACCCTTTCCTATCCCAGCTGCAGCCCTGTGCGTTGGGGTCTCTGCACCATCGTCCACGGGTCTGCCTAGGCTCCCCATGAACTCCCGGAACTGGAGGTCCCACTGTCCAGCATTGAGCCTGCAGGAGCGGTCCGGGGTCTCCAGTCCCAGGTGGGTGCTGTGGATTGGTGTCTGCGTGCTGAGTGGGGACGGCTGCACCAAGCCTCCCCCACGGACCCCTGCTAGTTGCCCTGTCGGCCTTGGTGCCCACATGATGGGATCCCGGTGCCTTGCTGCCAGCAAACAAGCATGTCTGGCAGGCAAGCTGGCACCTTCAGGGAACCCTGGCCTGAGTCAGGATCACAGGCAGTGAGGAGGTGGATTCAGTGCTCAAGCCCCAAGCAGAGGGGCGCGCGAGGGAGGGAGCTGGGGGGGTATGCCGTGACTCAGTTTCCCAGCCGCTGTCCCCGCTTGACGAGCGGCCCCAGCCTGGAACGGGAAGGCGGTGAGCCGGGCGGCGAGACCCAAGCTATGGTCGGGGCCGTTCCTTCCTGGGGCGCGTCCGCATGCGGAGCGCGCGCGTGTCCCGGCCGCGCGTGGCGGGGCCGGCGGCGGCAGCGCGCGCGCACTGGCGGGCGGCTCCGGCTCCGTGACGCGGCGCCGAACGGAGCGGGAGGAGCGGGCGGGCCGGGGCGGAGCGGAGTCGTCCGCAAAGCAGCCCCTTCCGGCCGCGGCCGCCAACCCCGGCCCCCGGCCCCGCCTGGCTCTATGGACAGGAGCTCGCTGCTGCAGCTTATCCAGGAGCAGGTGCGTGGCGTGGGTGGGTGGGGGGCGCCCGCACAGCCCCCGCCGCAGGGCTGGGCCGAGGCGACGGAGCTCCCAGAGAGCCGCGGTCCAGTCCCGCTGCTCGGCGCCTACTCTCAAGCCCCCTCTTCCATGACCCTGGCCCCCTGCCGGACACTCCGGGAGAGGGCGGGCCAGATCAGGGTCCCTGGGGAGGTATAGGAGGGAGGGAGATTGTCCTCAGACCTTGGCCCTACCTTTCTAGGAGGATGAGCAAGGCAGAAACGAGGTGGGGAGGCCCCTAAGAGCTGGAGGCCTGGGACCCAGGCACTGGTGCCCTGGCAGCTCCTGGGACCATGTGGGTGCAGAGGTCTGGCCCCTGGGTGTTTGGAGCCTGCCTGTCCCAGCTGGCCTGGCCCAGCTCTGTGGCTTGGAAGCCTGATCCCCACTCTCAAGCCTTGGCCGATGGCCCCCCCCACCCCAGCAGCTGGACCCTGAGCACACAGGTTTCATCGGTGCGGACACCTTCACCGGCCTGGTGCACAGCCATGAGCTGCCCCTGGACCCGGCCAAGCTGGACATGCTGGTGGCCTTGGCCCAGAGCAACGAGCGGGGCCAGGTCTGCTACCAGGAGCTGGTGGACCTGGTCAGTGCCATAATGGGCGGACAGCAGGGGTAGGGGCCTAGGCTTTGGCAGGCACAGTGCCTGGCTGGAGTGGGGTGGGCAGGCAGCCCCCACTCCCTGCCCTTCCCACCAGGAAGGAGTGTGGACTTGGGGCAGGGACTCAGACTCTACCAGGAGCTGGGTGGGCCAAGGGGACAGGGTGGCTCGGGGGGTGGGGGTGGGGAGTATGGTGGCCCATGCTTAGGGCCGCCCCCCTCCAGATCAGCAGTAAACGCTCAAGCAGCTTTAAGCGGGCCATCGCCAACGGACAGAGGGCACTGCCCCGGGACGGGCTACTGGATGAGCCAGGCCTGGGTGTCTACAAGCGGTTTGTGCGCTACGTTGCCTACGAGATCCTGCCCCGAGAGGTGGACCGCCACTGGTACTTTTACAGACACCGCAGCTGCCCACCCCCCGTGTTTATGGCCTCAGTCACCCTTGCCCAGGTGTGCCCACTTGTCTGCCACTCAGAAGCCGCCCACGGGCCTGGCCCTGCCTGGCCCTAACACCTCTCCCTCCCAGATCATCGTGTTCCTGTGCTACGGGGCTCGTCTCAACAAGTGGGTGCTGCAGACCTACCACCCTGAGTACATGAAGAGTCCCCTCGTGTACCACCCTGGCCACCGTGCTCGAGCCTGGCGCTTCCTCACCTATATGTTCATGCATGTTGGGTGAGTGGGGGCCCACCGCCAGCATCCCTCTGGCAGAGTCAGGAACACTCAGTCCCTCGAGTCGGGCGGGTGGCCTGACAGCTGACCTTACATCTGTTTACACCCACATGGCCAGCCTGGAGCAACTAGGGTTCAACGCGCTCCTGCAGCTGATGATTGGGGTGCCCTTGGAGATGGTGCATGGTCTGCTCCGCATCAGCCTGCTCTACCTGGCTGGTGTGCTGGCAGGTGAGGCAGGCACGTGGCCCCTGGCCATCATACTGGTGAGCCTCACCCTCATGGTTCTCCCTTTGCTCACACAGGCTCCCTGACTGTCTCCATTACCGACATGCGGGCCCCTGTGGTGGGGGGCTCTGGTGGGGTCTACGCCCTGTGCTCGGCACACTTGGCCAACGTCGTCATGGTAATAGGGCAGACTGCGGGGTGGGTGTGGGGAGGGGCCCACAAGGCCTGCCTCACAGCCTCTGTCTCATGCCCCATCAGAACTGGGCTGGGATGAGGTGTCCCTACAAGCTGCTGAGGATGGTGCTGGCCTTGGTGTGCAGTAAGTAGGGGGTCAGGGGGCTGGGGGGCCTCAGCCTAAGGCCAGGGTGCCTCCCACCTGCCACCTTTCTCTGCAGTGAGTTCCGAGGTGGGCCGGGCCGTGTGGCTCCGCTTTTCCCCACCACTGCCTGCCTCAGGCCCCCAGCCCAGCTTCATGGCACACCTGGCAGGTGCAGTGGTAGGGGTCAGCATGGGTCTGACCATCCTGCGCAGCTATGAGGAACGCCTGCGGGACCAGTGTGGCTGGTGGGTGGTGCTGCTCGCCTATGGCACTTTCCTGCTCTTTGCCATCTTCTGGAACATCTTCGCCTACGACCTGCTGGGCGCCCACATCCCTCCACCACCCTGATGGGCTTCCCAGGGCCACACAGGCCAGGGCACAGGTGTATGTGGGCCAGCCACCAGGCGAGTCTGCATGTCTGCCCTCTCTGAATGTACATCTCAAGACTGCTTCTCCTCCGTGGGGGCAGGTGGCCCCTGCAACTCACTGAGTCCAGGCCAAGCCTTACATCAGCCCTGGCTGCCCCTTCCCAGGGCTGGGGAGGTAGGACTGCCTGGCTAGGCAGGGGAGGTCCCCAGGTGTGGCCCCAGAGGAGACCCTGCCCCGGCCTCTCCCCCGTGATTTGCGGTCTGAGCCTTTTTGGAGAATGAATAAATATTTTACACTGCAGCAGGTGGCTGTACCGGGGCTCTGGGGGCTGGCCTGGCCTCCCTCCCACTCACTGAACAGACTGCGGATATGTGGACAGCCTGAGCTTCCCCTTTCTCCTCTGCACTGGTATGAGATGTGTGTGTCTGTGTGTGTGAGAAAGATGAATGTGGGGAGAAGTTGGGGTCCTCACAGTCAGGTGTGAGTTCAGCAAGCATTTACTGAGATCCCACAGCAGCCAGCCTCCTGCTTGGACAGCCCGCCCTCCAGAGAAACCTGTGGCCTGAGGTTGTGGGCAGGTGAGCAGGCCCTGGGCCACAGCCAAGTTCAGGCAGCCTGCGTTCTGCATTTCTTGGCTGGCAGTGGTGTCCTCAGGAATGGCCGGGCTGGGACCAAGGCCGGGCAGCAGATCAGGGCACAGCTTCTGCCCCACATGTCCATACTGCTATCTCCACATGGTGAGGGGTCCACAGCCCTGAGGGACTGCCTAGGGAGGGGCAGAGGGAGGCTGGGGCCCGGGGACACTGGCCACTCGATCCTCCCGTACAGCTCTGCATACTGCACCCCTGCCTGCCAACGGGGCCCTCACCTCTGCTGAGGGTGTACTGCGACCACTGCGCGGTGGGACACGAAGGCTGCCGCCTCCGGAATCCCTGCAGCCAGGACTCGTGCCCTACCAGGGTCTGGACAAGCTCGGCGTAGGGCTGCCCTTCCCAGGGACCCCCCAGCGTCATGGACATGGCCATGGGCCCATTTCACAGGCAAGGACACTAACCGGCCAGGTCCGGCCCGCGATCTCGCGGGGCGCCCAGCTCTCCCGGCTAATCCGGTCCGGGGTGAGTTCGGGGGTCACGGGTGGTGGACCTCACCAAGCGGACCCGCACCAGAAGGAAGCTCCGCCCACGCCGCCAGGCCCGGCCCCGCACGTGGGAAGCCCTCACCACCAGCTTCCACGCCCACGGCCGCTCCAGCTCGTTTCATGTCACGTGCTTCTCCGCTCGGCCCTCGGTGGCCGCGGGCACTCCTCTCGGTGCCTGGGGAAGGGCGGTGACGGAGACTCGGGCAACGAGGGTCGTCCGCCCTACTGACCGCCCCCCCCGCCCTGTCATCGGTCCAGGCCTTCCACCCGCCCCTAGCGGTCCGCGCGCGCCCACAGCACCTCCCCGTTGCGGCCAGGACGGCGGCCCGGCGGCTCCAGGCCTCACAGCCCCACAGCCCGCGTGCAGCCGCCATGTTCGCGCGCGGGGCGGGGCCTCGGTGGGGCGGAGCCGAGAGCTGCAGGGCCACCGTCCTGGCGCTGCTCTGGACTTGACGTCCCGGGTCGCTTTGCCTCGAGCGCATGCTCCCAACCGGCTCCGCCCCCTTCCCCCCCGCGGCTCGTCGGACGCATGCGCGTCCCCGCCTACCGCGCGTCCGCCCGCCCCACTGGCCCCGCCTCGCGCGGCCGGAAGTTCCGGTGGCGGATTGCTGGACCGGGCCCGAGCGGATCGGGGGCTCGGGCTGCGGGCTCGGGCTGCGGGCGCAGGGCGGGCCAGACGCGGAGCCTGGGAGCAAAGCCCAGGCTGTGCCGCGCGGCGCCATGAAGGGCAAGGAGGAGAAGGAAGGCGGCGCGCGGCTGGGCGCCGGCGGCGGAAGCCCCGAAAAGAGCCCAAGCGCGCAGGAGCTCAAGGAGCAGGGCAACCGGCTCTTCGTGGGCCGCAAGTACCCGGAGGCGGCGGCCTGCTACGGCCGCGCCATCGTGAGTGCGCCCGCGCCGGGGGAAGGGACCGGCGTCCGGGCCAGGGGAGGGGGCGGGGCCCGGGCTTCGGCCCCGCGTCCTCCCCGGAGCCCCTGCCCGGCCATTCCCACCGGACCTTCGGAGGCTCTTGGTTCGTACGCGGGGGCGTTTGGGCTCTGAGAGCTCAGTGATGATCTTGTTTCAGTCGGGTCAGGGCTGCGGCTCTCGAGCCACTGCTGGTTGCTGGAGAAGTGTGGCGGGTGGGAGCTTCAAGGTGTTTGAGGCCCCCAGACCGAGGACCAGGGATCCTTGTTCCTTGAGAACTCCAGGCCCAAAGCTGGGGATCTCCACAGGTCTGAGAAACTTAGATTTACAAGACCTGTTGGGAGTCAAGAGGGTGGGTTCATGCAGGCCTCAGGAGCGGGAGTTCATCCTCCACCAGTCCTCAGTACGCAGGGGCTTTGAAGCTGAGAAGTTTCTGGTGTCTTGATTCTAGCCGTGGGCTCTAAACTGGACCTAGGACAGGGCCTAGGACGGAGAAGGAGCACAGAGCTCACTCCCTCATGCTGGCTGGCCTGGCCTTGGTCCCCAGACCCGGAATCCCCTGGTGGCAGTGTACTACACCAACCGGGCATTGTGCTACCTGAAGATGCAGCAGCATGAGCAGGCTCTGGCAGACTGCCGGCGGGCTTTGGAACTGGACGGGCAGTCTGTGAAGGCACACTTCTTCCTGGGGCAGTGCCAGCTAGAGATGGAGAGCTATGATGAGGCCATTGCTAATCTGCAGCGAGGTGGGCCTACAGGTTGTCAGGTTACAGGGGCGCCTGGGACCGGGTGGATGGACTGGCCAGGTGACCTGAAGCCCCTATTCCCCCAGCCTACAACCTGGCCAAGGAGCAACGGCTCAACTTTGGGGATGACATCCCTAGTGCTCTGCGCATCGCTAAGAAGAAGCGCTGGAACAGCATCGAGGAGCGGCGCATCCACCAGGAGAACGAGCTGCACTCCTACCTCACTCGGCTTATTGTGGCCGAGCGGGAGAGGTGGGCTGTGGTAGTGGCAGGCTCCAGGGCCCCACCCAGCCCCAAGTCAGCACTCTGGGGTTAACTCTGAGTCAAGAACACAAGTGTTTATTGAAGGCCAATACTGGCAAGCAGGAGATGGAGGGAAGGCAAGACCTGAACGAGCCCAAGGTTGGGGTGGAGTGTGATCTCTTCTGGCCAGACCATTTCTGACTAGCTCCTGGTCAACCCCCAGGGAACTAGAAGAATGTCAGCGGAACCACGACGGTGATGAGGACGATGGCCACATCCGGGCCCAGCAGGCCTGCATCGAGGCCAAGCACGTGAGGGTGCCCCAGCCCACGTGTGGATGTGTACATGTTTGCGTGCCTGTGATGGGAGCGTGTGCCCGGGGGAGGGGGATGGGGCATCTGGCCCACGCGTAGCTGCTTGGTTCTTCGCAGGACAAGTATTTAGCAGACATGGATGAGCTTTTCTCCCAGGTGGATGAGAAGAGAAAGGTAAGCTGTCTGTCCTCTGGGTAGCAGGAGTTGGACCAGCGTCCCCATCCTGGTGCCTGACCTCACCCCATGTGCTGCAGAAGCGAGATATCCCGGACTATCTATGTGGCAAGATCAGCTTTGAGCTCATGCGGGAACCATGCATCACGCCCAGCGGCATCACCTATGACCGAAAGGACATTGAGGAGCATCTGCAGGTGAGGGCCCACAAAGTGTTGGGAGTAGGACCCATAACTACTGAGCACTTTCTGATCCTGTTGTCACTGCACACTGCAGCGCGTGGGCCACTTTGACCCTGTCACCCGGAGCCCCCTGACCCAGGAACAGCTCATCCCCAACCTGGCCATGAAAGAGGTCATTGATGCTTTCATCTCCGAGAACGGCTGGGTGGAGGACTACTGAGGCTGGGCAAGGGCCAGGGCTGCCCGCCTTGCCTAGTGCCCTGGCCCAGGACGGCCTTGGGGCAGTAGCTCCAGTTCCTGTACATAGTTGGTGTCCCTAGATCCCTGCCCTGGTGTCCCCAACCCCTCCCCTCATCAGTTTTGCTGCTGGACCGTGAGCCCCACCTCCACCCCCATCTGGGCCAGAAACAGCAGGTGAGGGTGGGCTGCTGCCACCACTGTCCTGTAATAAAATCTGTGAGCACTCTAGGGGTGTGCACTGGTGTGTGCTGGGCTCACCAGCCGCCCACTCTGGCTAGCTGAGGAAGGTAGAGATGAAAACACTGGTGTCCAGGTTGAGCGTGGCATGCCACCACCGGTCAGGGAAATACAGCACCTGCTGGGAGGTGGGGGGTGGGGCACAGGGATTAGTTGGTGGCGTCTGGTCCAGCCTGGCCCCTTCCTGCCACCTACTGACCTCACCAGCCTGGACAGTGCACTCCAAGGGCCTTGCAGATGGTGCCAGGGTTGGGTACATGTCTTGAAGCCAGGCCAGCGTGGTTTTATTGGGATGGAACTCGGGTGTCTTCTCAGGGGGGTATAGGAACCAGCGCTGAGGATGGGAGCAATAAGGTCACTCTGTTGCAGTCAGTAAGCCCCGAGCCCCAGCCCCCATCTTGTGCTGACCTTGCGGCCGTAGATCACCTCTGAGAACCCGGGCCCATGCCAGTGGAAGGGCACCCCAGAACCAGCTCCTGTGGGGTCATTTATGAGCAGTTGCTGAGGCAACCCAACTTACAGTGTTCTCTTCCCTTCCAAATCCCCTTTACAAGGTACCCACCTGCGATTCCAAAACTGTAAGCAGTAGTGGTACCCAGCAGACTAAATGGTGGTGGGGAGTAGTGCTGAAAGAGCGATGCCCATTCGCTGAAATTGTTGTCCCCAAAGAAATACAAGGTGTCTGCCAACAAAGAACATGGGACGCACAGAGATCTTGGCACCTGGGTGCCCCCATCCCAGCCCATAGCCAACCAAATTGGACTCACCGTTGCCCAGGGAGGTAGGGTCCTGGGGATACAGCAAGTGCTCCACATACTCCTGAAAGGGCAGGTCCACTGCGGGAAAGGGGCTGATCAGGACTGGCTGAAGCTACTTGCAAGATGCTGGCGAGCAGGCTGGGCTGCTGCAGGGTGGGGTAGCTCACCTTTCCGGTAGGAGTAGGTATTGGCAGTGCTCAGCCGAACCACGCTGTCCCCAAAGGAGGCCAGTAGCCTTTCTCGGGAGCACAAAGCCCGGAACCTCTGAGGGGGTGGGGAAGAGACTCAAGGGCCGGGCCCAGCACGGGTGACAAGTGGCCAGGAGGGGCGCCAGCACTCACCGAGTTGTCTGTGAGCCCCTGCAGAATGACGGGTCTGGAGAAGGCGTAGCTGCAAGGGCAGAGTCACGGCCAGGTCTCAGCCTCGCCCATCCGCGTTAGCTGAAAGGGGGGGGGCGGACTAGGGGGGCCCGAGCGGACGGGTCGGCAAACAAGGGAGTGGGGACAGCAGCGCTCCGGGGGACACGCACTGGGGTGTGGGAGGGGTGGCCAGTGCGAGGGGACGCACGTACTGCTGCACGAACTCGGAGTAGCTGAGGTCCGCCCGACGTTCCACGGCGCAGCGCTGCTCCTCCGCCAGGGCCGCCGGCGCCCCGGGTCCGGGCCGCTGCCTGCGGGCACAGCGGGTCAGCGGCCCGCCCCCACGGCGCGGCCCGCCCCGGCCCGCCCCGGCCGCCGGCGCCGCTCACCACCCTCCATCGCCCGCCTTCCCGGCGCCGCGCCGGGCCAGAACAGCCAGCGTCCACACGGCCAGCAGGAAGAGCAGCCGCGCCCCTGGTGCCATGAGCCCGCCGCCGCGAGGCATGCCGGGAGTCCCATCGTCGCGGCAACGACGCCGGCCCCACCCCGGAAGCAGTTCCTTTGGCCCGCCCCGGAAAGGAGGGTTTGTTCGGAAGGCGGTGCGAAGGCCGCGGGAGAGGGGCTAGCGGCCGCTGCCAGTTCCCATGGCGACACTGCCACCCACCCACGGGAGTCGCCCGGCGCAGGACGTGGGCCATCGGCGGCGCGAGCGGCGGGGGACAGGCAGCCTCAGACTGCGGCTCCTGCTTCCTTTATTGGCTTGCCACGCCCAGCCCCTCCCGCCCCAAGCCCAGAGCGGGCGGGTCAGGAGTACTCGCACAGGTGGCCGCAGCCCGCGGGGCAGTGGGAGCTGCCCTCCAGCCACTTCATGATGTGCTGCAGGTGGCCGCCGTGGCTGCAACCCTGGCACCACACGAACAGACCCTTGACCACGTGGTGGCACACGGCGCACATGCTGGCGCAGCGGTGGCACCGGTCACAGACCCAGCCGCGGCTGCTCATCGGCCGCTTGCAGTGGCTGCAGTTGACGTGCAGAGTGGTGGACGCTTGGTTGAGGCAGCTGATGGCGCGGCTGGTGCTGAGCTTCACGACCTGGTTGGACACGTTCCAGAGGCAGAAGCGCTGCAACAGGTCGATGTAGGACGTGTACCAGTGCTCCTGGCGGGGAGGGGAGGGAGGCAGAGGTCTGGAGATGGGCACACTGGAGGGCTCCCCCCGGAGCGCGCTGGGGGCGGGGGGCAGTCCTGGGGGCGGGCAGGGAGGCCTTCCCCCGTCCCAGTCACCTACCTGCGTCTGCTCATCAATGTCCTTGCGCACGCGCTCGCCCAGCACGATGAGCACGGACACAGCCATCTGCACGTCACCCTGCTCGGCGTAGAAGCGCAGCATGTCACACACCAGGGCACTGAAGAAGTCAGGGGGCAGCCGGGTGTCGTGGAGAGCATGTGAGACGGAGAGAAGCGAGAAGGAGGAGTCTACGGGCGCCAGGGAAGCCGCGTCAGCCTCGCTGCCGCTCACGTGGGGCGAGTCGGCCTTGTCCTGCAGGTGCTCGGGGCCAGGCGGAGTGTCCACGATCTCGTGGCGTAGTGGGAAGGCTTCCTGGGGCAGCACGTACTCCGGGTCCTCTGCTGCAAGGCAGGAATGGAGTCTGAGCTCCTGGCCCCACCGGCCAGCCCCACCCCCAGCCCCGACTCACGGTGTGCATGCTCCGGGTCCAACAGGTACAGCTCATCCTCCTCGCCCTCCACGTCGCCCAGCAGGTAGTCTGCAGGCACGTCGCTGCCTTCTGTCTCTTCGTTATCTGCCCATAACAGAGATGGGGGGCATTCCAGAGGAACTGATTTTGGGATGCCCTAGCCCCGCTCCCATCAATGCCCTGTGCGCCCCCCAGCCTACCCTCATTGGTGATGAGTGTGGCTGAGGAGTCAAGCAGCACCGTGTCGCTCCGTGTATCACCCTTGCTACGGTCCAGTCTGGTCTCACTGCCCAACCCTGGGGCCATATCCTTCAGGTTGAAACTGGGGGTAGGGAAGGCCAATGGGTAGATAGGCCCCAACAGCCCCACCCTCTGAGGAGAGCCACCCCCAGATGTCTACCTGTTCATGAGTGGCAAGCCACAAGAGCTGCCCTTGCCCACACTGTGGTTGAGGCTGGTGGCAGATGCCAGGCCAGGACTACAGTAGATGATCCGCAGCATGGTCCAGGTCTGTGCTACCTAGGGACAGGCGCCAGGCACTCAAAAGGGGCCTGGGTTCCTGGCATGCCATGCACCCCCCCCCCACTCCTGGATGGAACCACAAACTCTCAATGTTCAGCTGCCCCAGGCACCCAATGTCCTGGTCCACCGCAGCTGGGGAAACTGAAGTCTATGCTAAAGACAAATATCTTAGTCTCTGCCCTACGAGGGAATAGGAAGGAGCAGAAATTGGAGGCAGCCAACATGGAAATGAGCCTGTGGTCCCAGAAAGACAATGAGAAGCTATGTGGGCCTCTGTGGGGGCAGACACCTTGGGAAATCCAAAAGCAAAAATGAGCCACAAGAAGGGGCTTCAAGCCTGCACCCCAATGATGGTACTGGGTACCCTCAGGTACCACGGTGGTGGCTGGTGGTGGCAGCCGCCAGAGCTGAGCACTGAACCCAGGGCAGGGTCTGGGTAGAGCAGTTGGGGGAGCCCCCAAGGTCATGGTCCCTGGGCCACCTCACCTACCTGGTTGCGGCCAAGCTCCCGAGCCACTTTTGCATTGTGGTCACAGAGCTCAGCCAGAGGCCGACCAGCCAGGGCATAATGCTCGGCGGTGTCCACGAACCAGCTCATGCTGCCACTGCCAGGCTCTATCTCAAAGACGCTGAGGGCACTGGACGCGAGGCCCACAAAAGGTTCAGCAGGGTCCAGCTTGCGCTTGAAGAAGATGGGGTGGCGCCGATCACCGGCATAGGGCTTGCGCCCAGACTCGGTGGCCACTAGGCTCTCCTTAGCGGCGAAGGCCAGGTCCCCAAAGAGGCCATAGCAGAGGCCCTCGGGGTTGGCCCGCTCAACAGGCTGGCTGGCATCACGGAACAGGTGCTGGCACAGTGTGCTGTCCTTAGAGCCCGAGAGCAGGAAGGAGGGGTCGTGTGGGTGGCGCCAGGCAATGCCTGTTGTGACGTCGCGGTGCTCCTCGAACATGGCAGCCGGGACAAAAGGCCGGCGCACATCCCACACGTAGATGTTATGGTCTACCATCATGGAGCAGGTGGCCAGGTGGTGGCGGCACTCAGGCCGCCACTTGACGCGGGCTACTGAGGCGATGGTTTGCACGCAGTGCACCTCCTTGGCACGGTGCGTGGTCATGTCCCAGACCTTCACCATCTTGTCACGTCCACCCGTGGCCAGCCAGCCCCTACAATAGATGCACGAAGCCCTCAGGGTCCTCTCCGGGGATGGGATGGCTCCCCACTCTCTGCCTCACAGGCCTGGAGGCAGCCCCTCCAGGAGCCCACCCATCCCACCCTGCCGCCCGTGCCCCCACGCCACGCCACCCTACCCCACACCTGTCCTCAGGGTGCCAGTCACAGCAGAAGACAGGCCCGTTATGGGCGGTGAACATTCTCTCACAGCGGTCAGGCCTCCGGATGTCCCAGAGCTGCACGTTGCCATTCTCAAAGGTGGATGCGAAGGTGAAGTAGTCCCGGATGCTGAACTGGACGTCCCGCACACTCTCCGACTGGCCTGTGGGCAGGATGTCAATGGAGGGAGAAGGTGAAGGGCTCCAGGAGAGAGAGTGGCCAATGGTGGAGGCCTTGGACAGACTGTGGACTGCAGTCATATGCCTGCCCGCAGCCAAGGTGGGGAGGCCTAGAAGGTGGGGTAGACACTGCTAAGCTTGCCCTGGGGTGGTGGGTGGCGAGGAGAGGCTTCACGGAGAAGACAGGGTAGATTAGGCCGCGAAGCAGGATACCAGGCACCGTGTAGTTTTTGAACCCAAAACCTGGACCTCCATCCTCTCCTGGATTGTGCTTCTGACAGCAGTTCTTGCACAGAGCAGTGGCCCGGCTTCAGGACTGGCTGTCAGAACAGTGAGCAAACAGGAGCCTCACTGTGCTATCTGTATGCACGCCCCTGAGGGAGGCCCAAGGAGGCCTGGATGAGGGTGCCCTAACTTCTGCCCCATCCCTTCACCTTGAGCTGGAGCAGCTGGGTCAGCCCCATGGGACTGGAGACCTTAAAGGTCTACGTCCACCCCCATGGACCACCACCGAAGAGCCTTCAAGGACTCTAGCTTTTCCACAGCACAGGTAGTTAAGGGTCTGTCTAAAGAGGCCCTCAATTCTCTGAGGCGACTGAGGCTTCTGCCCTGTGCTTTGTTTGGTCTCTTCAAGGTGCACAAGGGATAGCTGGCTCAAGGCCAGCTGCCAAGGAGCTGGGCCTGCTGGGAAAGGGTGCCAGGCAGCATACCCCACCTCCTCTCCATCCCTGAGCTGAGGACCCTGGAGATCTCGGTGGGCTTCCTGCTGTGAAGTGGCCTGGAGCTCTGGGCAGCAAAACAAACCCTCTGCTCAGCAGCTCAGGTTGGCTGTAGTCTGCTCAGGCTCTGCCCTCTCCCTGGTCCCGTATCCTGCCCCTCCCATGCTGACCCTCACCCACTCTTTTAGTACTCTCTGGGGGCATATCTGAAGACCTCTGATGCACACGATGCACTTCTCCACCTGCCCGACCCGCCTCCAGTGTCTCACCCGAGAAGGTGCTGACAGAGTCCTTCCTGCGGAGGTCAAAGCATTTCATGAAGCCGTCCTGGGAACCGCTGAGCAGCACGTGGGCCTCAGTGGGATGGAAGCAGACTTTGTTCACTGTGCGCTTGTGCTCTGTGAACAGCTGGTCCTGCTTGTTGCGGGATGGCCGGCCCAGGTTCCACGTGACCACCACGCCATTGGTGGCCGCCGTGGCCAGCAGGTTCTCGTCCATCTGGTGCCAGACTACGTCCGCGCAGCTCAGGTTGAGTGAGGGCTTGCGGCCCACACGGAGGTTCAGCTTCTCCACAAACTGCTCGTCCTCAATGGCATAGATCTTGAAGATGCTGCGGCCTGCCACGACCACCTGGGCTGCATCACGGCACACGCTGATGGCATTGGCTGGTGCATCCAGGTGGCAGTGCATAGTGCGGCCCGTCAGCGTGCTGCCACCCAGGGCCGTGGTCACTCGGGACATCTTCTCCATGGCTGCACGGGGGGGGGGGGGGGGGGGGGAGGATGGGGACACGAGGTCGGTGAAGTGGGCTGGCCTGGTCAGCCTGGAGGGGCCAATCAGTTCAGACCCTTCACCCTGGTTGGGGCCCCCAAAATTGCTTCGTCCTGGGCGGGTCAGTCTGGGCGGGCCGTCCAGAACAGTTCGCTGCTACTCAGTGAAAAGGAGACATCAATGCCCTGGAGCTCGGCCGTCCCGTCTGCCTTCCGGGGAGACCCTACCTGGTCAGTCCCAGCCCGGGCCACCGCTCCATCCCCCGAACAGATCTGGGTGGTCACTGACTGGGCTTTCGGCCAGTCAG